AAGAGTGAAATACATAATGAAGATCTCTGGATCATAAAGAATATGTGTGAAAAAGACTGAAATACATAATGAAGATCTCTGAATTACATAAAGAATATGTGTGAAAAAGACTGAAATACATAATGAAGATCTCTGGATCATAAAGAATATGTGTGAAAAAGAGTGAAATACATAATGAAGATCTCTGAATTACATAAAGAATATGTGTGAAAAAGACTGAAATACATAATGAAGATCTCTGGATCATAAAGAATATGTGTGAAAAAGAGTGAAATACATAATGAAGATCTCTGAATTACATAAAGAATATGTGTGAAAAAGACTGAAATACATAATGAAGATCTCTGGATCATAAAGAATATGTGTGAAAAAGAGTGAAATACATAATGAAGATCTCTGAATTACATAAAGAATATGTGTGAAAAAGACTGAAATACATAATGAAGATCTCTGGATCATAAAGAATATGTGTGAAAAAGAGTGAAATACATAATGAAGATCTCTGAATTACATAAAGAATATGTGTGAAAAAGAGTGAAATACATAATGAAGATCTCTGGATCATAAAGAATATGTGTGAAAAAGACTGAAATACATAATGAAGATCTCTGGATCATAAAGAATATGTGTGAAAAAGAGTGAAATACATAATGAAGATCTCTGGATCATAAAGAATATGTGTGAAAAAGAGTGAAATACATAATGAAGATCTCTGAATTACATAAAGAATATGTGTGAAAAAGAGTGAAATACATAATGAAGATCTCTGGATCATAAAGAATATGTGTGAAAAAGAGTGAAATACATAATGAAGATCTCTGAATTACATAAAGAATATGTGTGAAAAAGACTGAAATACATAATGAAGATCTATGGATCATAAAGAATATGTGTGAAAAAGACTGAAATACATAATGAAGATCTCTGGATCATAAAGAATATGTGTGAAAAAGAGTGAAATACATAATGAAGATCTCTGAATTACATAAAGAATATGTGTGAAAAAGACTGAAATACATAATGAAGATCTCTGGATTACATAAAGAATATGTGTGAAAAAGAGTGAAATACATAATGAAGATCTCTGGATCATAAAGAATATGTGTGAAAAAGACTGAAATACATAATGAAGATCTCTGGATCATAAAGAATATGTGTGAAAAAGACTGAAATACATAATGAAGATCTCTGGATTACATAAAGAATATGTGTGAAAAAGACTGAAATACATAATGAAGATCTCTGAATTACATAAAGAATATGTGTGAAAAAGACTGATATACATAATGAAGATCTCTGTAGTTCGTAAAACGTGTGTACAATGTATGGCTAAGGTGTGAGGGGTAATGTTTAGGTGATACTTTGTAGGTAGTAAGATATGTATATAAAGATACTAAGATCATCAGATTGTGTGGACTATTAGTAAGGTAGTGTGTGCATTGATGTTGAGATGAAATGGTGTGTGGATATGTTATCAAATAGGATTCTTCTTGCATACAGTCTATATAAATAAACAGAGTTCTAACAATTTTCAGGAAGAAAAAGAAAAAAAATCAGACACCAACTTACCAGCAAGACGGAAATCATCAAGAAGTCGAGCTGGGATGTCTGGATCATTAAAAAATTTGAACTCCAAGAGCCACTTATCACCCTATAGACAAACTTCCTACTCCTCTACAGGTCCAAACCACCATTCTCCAAAGCACCATAGATCTCGCACTTCTGATATGCATATTCCTAGTCCCCCTGAGCATCGACAAGACTCTCACTACCAGTCCAGGACAAGGATGACTCTCCCGTCTATGGGTGGACCACCCCCTCCTCCACCCCCAGTCATTGGAGGGGCTCCTCTATCTATGGGTGGACCACCACCTTCTTCAGCAGTACCACCTCCCCAGACTGTCACAGGACCGGCAGCTCAAAGACCAGACAGAAATGCCTTACTAGCCAGTATTAATGCTCGAAGAGTTAGTTCATCTAATTTGTAAACAATCATTAGACAGTATTCTTACCACACTGATTTAAACACTGTTACATCATATTCTTCAGATCTTTTCTTGTATGAGTTGACAGAGTCCATGTGTAAAGTGTGACTTGGTTCAGGAATTGTTACCATGTAAATATTGGTAACTTCAATATTGAAAATCTCATATGGGAGATGTATTTCAAACAAACCACACCCGAATGGCATGAACGTGAAATTGAATCTCCTATTCATTCTTTTTGGTAGAAACTGTCAAACAGACTACATGTTGCCTTCTTCAGCTGTATTGCACTAAAACCACAGTGGTTGTAATGGTATAAAACCACCTGTATAGAGCTACTTATTGTAACAGAAACAGAGGTGTTTGGTGTAAGATTCATAAATCTTTCTTTTTCCCCTCTCTTCTTATTTCATGGCTTTTCAAGAAATGTCATTAAAAATTGTTATAAAAAGAAAACAGAAAAAATTATGAATTTGATCATGACATTTTATTTATGTTTATCCATTCTTTCCACAATTCCTCAAGTATTATATCACTTTAATAAATTCCAGCTTACATGTATATATATAAATACCAAGTACCAGGTAAGTACACACACTTATATATATATGTTACCTAGTGATGATGTCACAATTTCACTAAGTAATCCCATGAACTTAATTATTTCATCTTTTTAAACCAATTACACTACCTATCAAAAATTAGCAAAATTCCATTGTTTTAACTGATTGAAGAGATGATTTTCTTCCTGTTTTAAACAGAAATATAGCATAAAGTGTGGCATGATAAAAAATATTTTGTCTTTTATCCTTACTAAACCAATAAACATACATTAATTACATTCACAAATCAACTGTTAAGATTAATTAAAAATCATGTTTTTAATCGATATAAAAGATTGTTAAAGATGAGAACATATTTCATGAAATAAGAATGAATGACTAAAACACCTAATTGCACTTGACAGAGAGAATGACATGGATCTTATTTACAACACACCTGTAGCTCTACAAACACCAAGATTGTACAGCTGCTGTAGTTAAGCCACCTTAAAATCAGCTGTGTTTAGATTTTCTATTAAACGAAACAAAGAGAGATTCATATTGATTAAGTGTAGAACTGCTGCTTCAGGTGATTTCGAAAGATTTGCTGACTTGCAGTTGTAAGAGTTTTTGTTTGAACAAAAATCAGAAGAATGAAAATAATCTGTATGTGCTATCATGTTGCAGAATACATTTTATTTCACCAGTTTACGATGCTCAGAATCATCTCCATGTAAGTAAGATTTACAATAATTTCTTGATATAATATTATTCCTGATAAGTCAGTATAGGATCCTGAAGTATATAGTATACAATGATAATGTAAGCATTTTTGGACATTCTGTAAAATTACATATTCAACTCAAATCAACGAGAAAGCTATGAAAATATATATATTCCATGGTGCCAAAAGCATATTTAGACTCGATAGAAAATCATTATCAACAATAAGGATCAATTTATGCACTCACACGCTGCTGTTCCTGTAAACAAAGATTTTTGTTAATTTTATCTAGAGATGATCTCATACTCAACTTAAATCATATTCTGAAAATGTTGAATTTTTTTTTCAAAATATACATATATATACATGTATATATATTATAAGAGGGATTTTTGACATCTAAGTTATAATAAATCCTAGTAATCTTTGTTCCTATGTTGATACCTCCAAATATAAAAGTTTAATAATTGTATACTGTGTATCTGTTAGCATTTTACGACATTGTGCTGCATACCATATATAACCTGTATAATGAAAAACAGCTTTTAGAACTGAAAATTACTGTAGGATTACCTATAGGTAGAGAGGTAATATGGCACAAGGTAAAATGAGAAAATATATATGTACAAATTAATCTTCATGAAATGACATTAATAAGAGCCTATCTGAATTCTACATATTTAGTGCCTTATAAACTTGTAGGAACACAACATTAAGTTATAAAAACCATCAGTAATGCTCACAAACATACATCCTGGTACGCTCGGAGGAAATCTGTTTGTTATTTGATTTCAAGGAATGGAACAAATCACATGATCAGAAAGTGAAATGAAATTTTAATTTTCTTAATCAAAAACATCTCAAAAATTATTCCTGTTTTCTTCAACACTGGTTATTGATTTTGTAAAAAAAATTGTTTTTTCAAAATGACATAAATACCAGGGATTATATGATGATACACCATCTATATAAAGTCCATTTATTTGTGATATAAATAAACAGATTTGTAACAAAAGTGAGATGGTTGGGGGGAGCAAAAGTTGGAAGACACTGTTTTTGTAAACTTGTGCAAAGTTTCTACACTTACAGTTTTTAAAAATTTCTTTATTTCATTAACTTTGATTTCAAGACATTTCACTGCATAGTGAGAAATTAGCACTTCAATTCACACAATACAAAGTGCTTTCTTATTAACAATTTATGAAATGATTAATTAAAAGTTTAAAAAACAAATGTTGACAGGTGATGTTTGGCTAATTATGTACAGAAGACAAGGAGAGATACCATACACAGTAATATTACATGAAACGTTCTATACATTGGCATACAAAAATATATATATACTTTGATCATATTTACATGTGATATTTATAAAAGATAAAATCAACTAAAATGATGATATAAAAAAAATCATCCCATGTTTACCTCAAAGTACATTTATTTTTATGTCATCTCGATTTTTTCAGTCTTTTAGTATTACAACGTATCTTTTACACAGAATTAGTTTGTCTAATTGAACAATTATTACATCAAAAATATTACAACAGTGTAACTGAATTGGGATATATACAGCAAATTCATTGACTAGCTGAAAAAAAATCTGTTTTCATACTACAAATTTTACAAGACATTGCAGTAACATTGAGTACATATTTGTGTATATTAGCTACCAACAAATTGCCTCCATATGTTACACGGAATGACAAGTCACTTATAAAGTGGAATTGTACAACCTTGAAACATTGGACATTGCTGGGCAAGTGTTTGTACTTATGCAGACCTTAAGTAGAAAACAACGTCACAAACGCATACGCCTGAATTTCATAACAGTTCTCGTTCAAGTATAGTTAAGGACTGACGTTGTCAGTCACTTTTCTGACATTGTAGATGTTTAATAAACAAACCATTTATTTCTTTTTTTAAGTCAATGAAATTGTGAAGAATAGAACCGAAGGTATCTGAAAATTAATTTTAGAAAATTTTGTCTGAAGAAGAACCTTGTGTTGTCCTGGGATCAGTAATAAAACTTCAGGTGGTAATGCACCACTTGAGCTATGATAAGGACCAGTACAATAATCATAGACACTATACCGCCCAAAGCCGTACCTTTAGCGTAAGCTCCATATTTTGAGGCCTGGACATATTTACAGCGATTGAAATAGTCCTTAGACATTTCTGTAAAAGAATGAAAAATATGATGAAGAATTAGAACAACAGCTTTTCTACAGTGGTGGGGCAACTCTTACTCCCAAAGTTTTTTGAAGAAAAATAAAATATCTGATTTTCTTGACATGAGATATATGTTCTATGTGAGTAATTGGTGCCAAATTTGAACATGTTTGTACAAATATTGAGTTACGGACAAGCCCATGAAATGCTGGAAGTTTGGATGTCAAGTCATAAAAACAAATTGCATGCCGATATATGGAGGAATTGTGTGTATGATAATTCATTGAGTTGGTCTGTTTGTATAAATATAATTCAATCTTATATGAGACAAGCACTTTCATTGGCCAATTGTTTTATGCTATCAGCCAATAGCAAAAAAAATTTGATGTCATTTTGCAACGTCATGTTTGATTTGCTAGTGCAGTCGTGTAAGAAATTGTCAAAGAAAAGAGTCCTTTATAAATGTCAAAAATATTGCAAAGAGGCCTCACTTTGTAACTAAACCTGATGTAGATTACAATGAATACAATGTGTGAGGATTACAGCCAGTAAGTGTTTTTGGAATCAGTTCAGTAGTTAAGGCATAGCCAGTACATTGTTGTGTATTTAGGAGAAGTAAAATCAGACTCAAGATATGTATCTTAATTTGAAATGACTTTGCATTTCTTCAAAGTTTATATTTTTGCGAGTCTTGGTGAGAGTATGATATGTGACTGATGATTAGCAGGATTTGTACTGACACATTGACATAACAGAACTTACCATATCTGGAAGCACAACCCTTTAGAATTTTGTTAAAGCAGTGTGTTCATTAGATTGATTACAACATATTGATTATTTTCTCACCTGCTAACAACACAGCAATCAGGCCAAACAGAGGATTGAAAAACACAGAACAGCAGGCAAAGCCCCAGTTATCTGCAGGTTTCTTGATAGGATCTGGAGCGTCAGTGACGACTGGGAGGATGTAGGATGCCTGAGAGGGTGTGTACATAGACAAAATACTCCGACTGCCATATAAGGACATGGTCATACTGGCTTGTGATGTGTAACGTGAGTCTCCCAGTCGACGAAGCTCATATGCACTCCCAAGCTCGGAGGCAGACTCGAGGCGGTTTGTACTGCCACGAGTGTCATCAAAATAGTTGGAACCCATCGGGGGATAGTTAGACATGATGGTGATCTAGAGATGGCAAGTATCTGTGGGGATAAGACAAAAGATATTAGGACAGATCATGTCTATTTACATTCATCAACAGTGTTCACAGTGATACCTTTCTAATCTGACACCCTGCAAAAATCAACCTGTTTAATCCAGTGCAGGGATCACTTTTTTATAGATCAACTTAAAGCTGTTTCATCTGATACCCTCCACTGGGAAACTTTTTTATTAATCGGTTTATTCCAACAACCAGTGCGTTTTATTCACTAATATAAAATCTGTCTAATCCAACACTCTGGAGAGGAACCATTTTTAAGATTGTACAAAAGACACACAAGTGACTAGCACCTTTTTATTATTTAGAGTGGGATACACTAGAACCAAACAATGAATTTAACTGCATCATACAGCTGTTTCGTCCTTCTAGGACACACCATTGATGCTATGGGACTAAATTGTGAAGCCTAGAGGTGGCTAAGGAAAATCCAAAGTGATCAAAAGAAAAGTCAAAATCTAGACTGGGAGGTCCAACAGCCCAATAATTAAATAAATATCAAAAGTTACATACATCAGATAATTTTAGAATAGCGTCAAGTACATATGTACTTTCTGAACCATTAAATTAACCAGTTTGATCTAACATCCAATATGGGGACAAGTTTCTTTTTTAAAACAAACAGTAAACCTTGCACTGTCTTATCTAACAGCCTGTATAGGGGAACCATTTTTCATATAAAACAGTCAATTTGATCACAAACATGGGGACAATTATTTTAGATTGATAGTACAACCTTCTATTTTACTGGTGAACAGACCTGTATCGGTTTTGTTTTAAACATCTTATCAATAGCTATAGTCATTTAAGAATGGCCTCCACAAGTATTCGAGGTGAGAACATATGTTAAATGCATATTTTCAGCAGTATCTTTGTGTAAGCATCCTTTTGATAGTGAAAAACTGAGGAGTACCTTCAACAGTTGGTTGTAAAGATGGTCGTGTAACTTAAATTTGAGGGTGCCCTTCATTGGTATCTCATTTCTTGCAATATTTTTTCTTAACCTTTAAATACTTGGTAGAAGCCTTGTTATGAGGCTAATTATCAAGCTATATTGTGATATATGTTAATTGAAGGCAAAAATAGATATGCTTGTCTGCACCTCTATTCAAACTGATCTTGATCTTACAAGACACACTAATGGTTCAAGATGGTGGGGACGGCATAGGGGAACATGGGCGGTTGGACAAAACATATCGTTAGTTGTAAACACACTCTCGTGGCTTAAAAGTCAGCTGAAACAAACAATGATAATATATTTTGAAAGTATAGGTTGTATAAGCAATCCTGCGAAGTGATTCATATCCTGTATTCAATATGACAAGATTTCGCATATCGAAAGTTGTGTTTTTGCTCTGGCTATTTATCACTAAACCTAGTCCAGGTATATGTAGACCATAGAAAAACATACATCAAGGCATGATGCACCATAAACGGCAAGGTTTACCGGAAAATTCTATGTTGAATCTAGGTCAGGATACTATGGACGAAAAGTAGGAAGTGCATGGCGCGGTTACGTGAATTCAAATACTGTATGCCACCTGTAGCGTTGTACAGGTGGGTAATGCAATCCTAAGCACACCTGAAATGATTTACCTGTATATTAATCCAATCGGTTACATCAACGTGAGATTTTATGAGTAAGAAGTCGTTTCTTATCAACTTTCATCGTCTGGTCTTTACATTTTCTTCAACCTTCAAGCGGAAATCAACGCCAACAATAATATGCAAGTACGCATGCGCGCAGGTGTAAAAATCTCAGGTGAGTCATTTGAGGAATGTGTAATGTTTATATTCCGGAAAGGAATCGCCTGTCAATAAAATCGTTTTGAAAAGCAAGTTTTTTCTACACATACAGCGCTATTGACTAGGAATCAAATGATTTTACAATTCATAGAATTGTCGCGATAGTCGCAGGTTTCGACGTAAATTATTGAATATACGAGTTATTTCCCTTTAAATTGTAGAGACACGCCCTAATTCCTATATATCGATTCCGTGTCTACATTAAAGTCTGTGGTAACATACATCCCTGGCTTTTCAAATTATTTTCTTTTATGACAAACTAAGTAAAAGTACCTTTTCTATTTACGTCTCTGTGAAAGGATGTTTCATTATTTTTTTATCCAGCTTCAGGTGCAAGACCAACATGCATCGAATATACATAGTTGACTGCACGCAGCTGCAGAGAGCAAACGAGTAGACAACTGTTTTAACTTTAATTAAATGAAATGGAATATGAGATCAAAGTTACAAAAATCATTTTTTTATAATTTTTTTCATCGTCAGTAACCCAGCGTCTGTTGTACTATGGCTGGTAGAATGTATAACCAAGTACCTCCCAAAGTATTATTTCATATGTAATTTATTTGAAAGAAAGTCGGGGTAAAACAAATTTTCAATATATAACATGGATCTAAGGTATCAGTGCACAACAGTGGACAAGTCCAGACACCGACCCAGGCTCCGCACCAAAAAAGTTTTTTTTATCTGTGTGCTCATGGTAGGTAATTAGACGGTCTTAATTTTGTTTCTGTGTGCTCATGGTAGATAATTAGACGGTCTTAATTTTGTTTCTGTGTGCTCATGGTAGTTAATTAGACGGTCTTATTTTTTTACTGTGTGCTCATGGTAGGTAATTAAACGGTCTTATATTTTTCCGTGTGCTTATGGTAGGTAATTAATAACGGTCTTAATTTTGATCTGTGTGCTCATGGCAGATAATTAGACGGTCTTAATTTTGTTTCTGTGTGCTCATGGTAGGTAATTAGACGGTCTTAATTTTGATCTGTGTGCTCATGGTAGGTAATTAGACGGTCTTAATTTTGATCTGTGTGCTCATGGCAGATAATTAGACGGTCTTAATTTTGATCTGTGCGCTCATGGTAGGTAATTAGACGGTCTTAATTTTAATCTGTGTGCTCATGGTAGGTAATTAGACGGTCTTAATTTTGATCTGTGTGCTCATGGCAGATAATTAGACGGTCTTAATTTTGATCTGTGTGCTCATGGTAGGTAATTAGACGGTCTTAATTTTAATCTGTGTGCTCATGGTAGGTAATTAGACGGTCTTAATTTTGATCTGTGTGCTCATGGCAGATAATTAGACGGTCTTAATTTTGATCTGTGTGCTCATGGTAGGTAATTAGACGGTCTTAATTTTGATCTGTGTGCTCATGGCAGATAATTAGACGGTCTTAATTTTGATCTGTGTGCTCATGGCAGATAATTAGACGGTCTTAATTTTGATCTGTGTGCTCATGGTAGGTAATTAAACGGTCTTAATTTTTTCTATGCGCTCATGATAGGTAATTAGACGGTCTTAATTTTAATCTGTGTGCTTGCGGCAGATAATAGGACGGTCTAATGACTTGGTAATTTTAAACAGGTAGTTAGAGAGAAAGGACAGCTTCCGCAGCTGATATTTTCATTCTTTTGGTAGCGAAACAAGATCGTTGATAAGAATGGTTATCAGTAACACCATTTAGAAAGATAAAGAATAGCAGAATAGGGTAGAGCAAAAGTGATTGTTGATCTGGCTGAAATGATATTTTTATTCAATTATTCCAATATAAACACATACATGTATTTATGATTGGAGAACAAGATTGATTTTTTACCGTACATGTATATTAATTTGAACCCAATTTTGTAATCTTTACACTGGTTGCTTTTAAAACAGCCCCTATCGTAATAAATCGCTGTGGCCATTTGGGCTTTGAATTTCTTGTGATACATGATCTTGAGCATGGTCTCCAGCATAGTAATAGTACCAGGTAATAGATATTTTTTTCAAATTAGTTATATCTCCTAATATTACATTTGACCCCTTTTTAACCTGATTTCATGGCCCTGACATAGTGGGATTCTGGAAACATAAAAAGGCATGCTTCTTTTTGTATTATACAAATACCTGTTTATGTCAACTATATTTTTTCAGAAATGAGGAACTGTTCTCTTAAGAGAACTACCAGTATTGCTGCTTATAATTAATTACATGTGACTTGTGACCTTGACCTCTGAAGTAGAATTCCCAGAAACGTCATTCCTGGTTTCTTCAGTAAATAGGAACATAAAATAACAGCATTGTAAATTGATCGCTTGCAATAAAATTTATTCAATACATTCTTAAAAAGCCATAAAACTTTATAATGTTTTGAACATAAAGTTTTTTTGTAATAAGAATTCAAAATGAATCTGTCATCTTATTGGATGTTGAAATATGTTTTATTTAATGACAAAGAATCAAAACAGGCCTACTGCATGTTGTTGAATGGTATTGTAAATTATACCTGAAATGAAAAAAAGTTAAAAAAAAAAAATACTCCTCAAAAATGTATTGGTGTAGTGGTCGATACTTTCAAGGGGTTCTGGAAGAAAATTACAAAAAGTCAAAATTTTGATTTCTTGATGAAAAAATAACATCTAGCTCCGCCTACTTAGTTATGAATGGTAACACACCACTTTGTGGCAGATCAGTCACTATTTTGTATCAATGGAACATTTATTTACACATTCACTTGGTGTGTAGATCACTGTCATTCCATGATGTAAACAATAAAATGGAATACAACATCATAAAAACTTCAACTACCTTACAATGTACAAAAACAATTAACAACAAATCAATAACAGACTTATCAGTGAAAAATATGTAGTGTTATAATTTACACATTTCGAACACTGGGCTGAAAGCAAATATTAAACCATCAGATCAAAACATTGTCTGCTTATGAATTTTGTATCGACCTTGTGATTACAGGATGGATTTCAGCCTTAGTGACTTTGGTGCCAAAAATGATTTTCTGAATTGTGAATTAGATGAGAATCTAGTAAACATCAGCGACACCTTATCTATTGTATCAAGATCAGCATCAGCTGCTAGCCAATTTGCTCTTCTCCCACTCACCAATGTCATAAACCACTGCTGCTGTTAATTCAACAACACTCTTTCCGACTAAAAATGTAAACAAACCATCTCTCACATACATGCTCTCCGAGCCTCACTGTCCACTTTATCTACCCTGAAAATTGTACAAATTACCTGTCAGTAATGTACTGTCATTAAAGATGTTTTACGTAGTGATTTCTTATAAATAATCATTCATTAAACTAAAAAAACGGATACATTTAGGAATTATTTTATTTTACAATTATTAGCTTTGAAAAGAATATTTTTTAGTTTCAAACTGTTATGAAAGACATTCAGTTTGCAAATCTATTTTCCTTTTTAAACGAATATTAATGTTCGTTTGTAAGAATTCAAAATAAGTCTAACTACAATTATTATCAGAATGAAACTAAAATATATTCCTATTGATGCTTTAGTGAAATCTTCAAAAAATTCAGCATCAACAGGCATTTGCTCTTTCTTAATAGAAAACTCGTCTGAAAAGAATTATGGTTGTATGTCTTCAAATTCAAACACCTGATCATCACATGTTTTCTTACTCCTACTCAAAGTAACCTCCATTAATTTGAAACTGAAGCCTTACACATGTATTGGATTTGAAAAAATCCCAATCACTTAGTTGCCATTTCTAAGTAACATCCTATTACTTAAGACACAACTCAGACATCCACAGAGATATGATGAAAGTTTATTGTATTCTTGACCTTGGCAACATTTTTAATCACCCCCGAAAAAGGAAAGGTATGCCAGAAAGAATACCAGGACTCCCAGGGATAAGACAGGGCGCTCAGAAAGAATACCAGGACTCCCAGGGATAAGACAGGGTGCTCAGAAAGAATACCAGGACTCCCAGGGATAAGACAGGGTGCTCAGAAAGAATACCAGGACTCCCAGGGATAAGACAGGGTGCTCAGAAAGAATACCAGGACTCCCAGGGATAAGACAGGGTGCTCAGAAAGAAGACAGCATGCAATTTAGTTTCTTAAAATGTGTGCTGGGTGCTGCACTCTGGTCCTGGTTGTTGAAAGGCTGGTGAGAAATAACTAGTGGTCAGTGAACATTTTGTAACATGAATCAGACTACAATGGAAACACGTTTTATCGTTTCACAGCTGGAGATTTGTTAAGACATGTCAGATGGATAGATTTTTAATGTTTCTTTTGCCTCTACTACTCTGGTTTTTTCAACGATTTGAATTTTTCATTAAACACTAGTTATGTGTAAAGCTCCATTCTAGCTGGAACACAGTGATTACAAGTAGTAACTTTCAAACTATCTGTATATTTGTTGCTGAAAATTGTGAATAATGACAAGTTTCATTTTACATATTTAGAAATAAACATAGTCCAACTGGGTTAGAAATGGTCTAAAACACTTCACACAACACTATATCAAAATCAGATTTAACTCTCATTGGCCACTGCTTGCTCTGCACTTCGTTGTAGAATCTCTCTAAAGATTTTCTCTGCCTTGTGTCGCTGACCTAGTTTATTAACTTTTCCTTGAAAATTTCCACGGTTCATTGACCCTTTACCATCCATGACCTCTGCCATTCTATAAATAGAAATGTTAAACTAAATTAAACAAAACAAATTCAAGTGTTTAAGTTCACTATAGCTGACACAAAGGTTTTGTAGATTATCTTATACCTCTCTAATCTATGCCACTGAAGTACAAGAATTTTTTAAATAAAATTCAATTCAGAGACTTGCAGCAATGGAGTGAGAAGGGAGATAAATGTTAACTACGAGGTTTGTTGAAGATGACAGAAGAAAAAATTACCAAATGACCCAACCCGTCAATGATGGCCTGTGTAACTCACCAACAGATTGATAATCTCACCTTGTTCCAACATGACCCAACCCCTAAGTGATGGCCTGTGTATCTCACCAACAGACTGATAATCTCACCTTGATCCAGCATCCCCCAACCCCTGAGTGATGGCCTGTTTATCTCACCAACAGATTGATAATCTCACCTTGATCCAACATGACCCAACCCCTCAGTGATGGCCTGTGTAATTCACCACCAGACTGATAATCTCACCTTGATCCAGCATCCCCCAACCCCTGAGTGATGGCCTGTGTATCTCACCAACAGATTGATAATCTCACCTTGATCCAACATGACCCAACCCCTCAGTGATGGCCTGTGTAATTCACCACCAGACTGATAATCTCACCTTGATCCAACATGACCCAAAGTCTGAATGATGCCTGTATATCTCACCAAAAGACTAATAATCTCACCTTGATCCAGCATCCCCCAACTCCTGAGTGATGGCCTGTGTATCTCACCAACAGATTGATAATCTCACCTTGATCCAACATCCCCCAACCCCTCAGTGATGGCCTGTGTAACTAACTTGCCGTCATCATATTAACATTACCTTGGTCCAACTTCCTTGAGGATATCCTCCTTGCCTGAGAGAAGGAACAGCCCCGCCCCTTTGTCATCTCCAACAGTTAACATACAGCTCACATCCTGGAATGCAACAGCCTATCAGTACTGATAATTCATTCAATATGTAAACAACACACATCATTTGATTTACATTTGGTAAGTTTGATTGAATAATCTTGAGTGATTTTGCATTTTTCAGAGTATGCACTATTGTTTAAAGATAATTGGTCTATATTAAAAAAATAAATTTACTGGAAAAATACTGAATTTGTCAAAACAACACATACTTCTATATCAAAATCAAGCTATTTACCTTGTCACTGATTTCTCGTACTATAATGTTCATGAAATCATTGTCACCTTCCTTCCTGTATTATTGAATATAAATATTGACATCCGTTAATATTGGCTTTGCAGTTATATAAAATCAAAAACCCTCATACAAGGTCTATAAAAGAATCAGTATTTTTACTCTACAACACTAAGACAGCAGGAGTTTTAATTCACATAATATCACTGTTTATTTTATCAACTGGAGTCAAATATAAAAACTTATTAAGAACACAAATACTGTAAAATCATTTGGTTTTGTGAGGTTCTGTTTTCGTGGTTAAAAAATATATTATTTTGTGGGTGTCACACATCAGTATGTAAGTAGTATAGATATGCACGGTTTGAATTACATGCAGATTCTTGAAGGGCTATTCATGTTAGTAAGGTAGAGGATCAGTGCACATGTATAGAGGAGACTTGAAAACGGATTTGAAATGCATACAAAGAAACAGGGTTGCCATAATACCAGTGTGAAATACTGATCATGGTAAGTTACAAACTAATTTTCACTTTATTAAAACTTAGGTAAGTTCATCTGTACCTATGTGATTTGTTTATAGTGAAATAAAAATGTGTTACAGTGTATCAATACCTATAGGTAATCTAGCTTAAGTGTTTGATAGCACACATATTTACAGGTAAGGAATGTATACATGGAGGTGACAGGGTAGTAGTATTGTAATGGGTATGTGTGAGTTGTTTATGACTAAGTTGAATATCTATGGATATAGTGAGTGATATGTTCTACAATTATGTTTATAATTTGCAATGTGTATAAAATGTGTATGTAAGGTTTAATGATGATGTTTGCATGTGTTTACACTAGTAGAGAGGTAAGTGTGTGTATGTTGTGAAATATTAAAAGTAAACAAGTTATAATGCTGTATCCCATTGATTATATATACAAGATTACTATATCATTACATCATAATTAGTCATAGGAACTCATTAATATGTTGCAGCTTTCAGCGTCCCCATTTTTTTCAATGTATAGCCATTGCTTGACTGAGAACTATGGAAGACCAGAATGTTCAGCTGAATCTTTGTCCGAGTATTCACCAGTTTATGGAGGTTATGGAAACCCGTGTACAACAAACCCATTGTATGGTTGTACGGCATGGTCACCAGTTATGACCATTGTACCCTGGCATCATTGTATTACTACATAGTGTGTGGAAGCTGAAAGTACTCATCAGATGGTTATGATGTCGCCAGTCCTCCCGATACTGGGGAGTAAGTAGATCAATTATCTGGTGAACAAGAACAATTGTTGTTTGATGAGGAACAGTTACTCTGACTTTGTGATATCTAGCTGTGGGACCAATGATTGAAAGCTATAGACTGTGATCCCAGATTTGTTTGTTAGGGTATAGTGTAATATTGTGTATATATGTAAGTAGGGTGTAAAATCTTATATGCCATTGTATTTATGAGAGTGCAGTGTATGATGTGCCTATAAGATTTGTTTAAACTTAATGTAAGAAAATAAATGTATATATTGTATTCAGCTGTTATTTATTTGTTTGGTAGTTGTAGCCAATAACAGTCAGCTACGTCAACAGTTGACACTTGATTTTGTTAATGAATGTAGTTCAATAAATCTACTTACACTAATTTAAAAAAAATTTGTGGATTAAGATTTTGCACAAAAATCAACAAATTAAAACCTCCATGATAATATGTAGTTTTACAGTAATCTCTATCATAAACATCCAGACATAAGACCACAAGAGCCAGAGATATGGATGGGGTTATTGTCACATAAAACATAGAGTAAAACCTGCCTAATCAAACACCCCAAGGGTGCAGCCAAAACTGGTCTTATTAGACAGTGCTACTTAATAAACGAGGTGACACAGGTTTTTTTGAATTACAAAATATTAGTGCAGAAATAATTACTTCCGCATACTTTACCCAATCGTTATATTTTGCTTCATGTCATTCCAATTTATATTATACCAACACCTTGCCAGTATCTGAGTCAGTAAGATGTTTGTATACTCACCGATGTAAAACAAACACAGGATCTGGGTCAGTCTGAGACTTGTACTTCTGTGCTTCTAACATAGCCAGATCTTTCAGTAAGTTTGTTACATTCTATAATAAGCAAAAATTGTAATTATGATTGTCCTGTTTTTTGCCTCTGCAAACATATTTTTTAGAATATAGAAACAATAGTCTTAGACAGTTGTTTCAATGATTTTTCTCATAGCAGACAAAAACAAGAGGTCCATGGAACTCAACATTCACCTGAGGGCTTCAGGTCTTTGGACAGTTTTATAACCTGTCCATCAGTTACAGCATTGGGGCAGACTGAACTGATTTATGCATTTTTACAGTTTCTATTGTTTATGAATTTTAAGGCTTAATTTTGAATTGAATGGAACTGATAACACTGTCTGTTGTTGCAGTTTAGAATATTTGGCCAATGTGACCTTGAATGAAGGTCAAGGTCATTCATTTGCACAAAAAGGTAGCCCTTCATCCCAGCATGCTACTGGCCCAATATCATGACCCTGGACCATTTTATTACTGAGCAGTCATTAAAAGATTTTAACATATTTGACCCCTGTGACCTTTAAATTAAGCCAAGGTTATTCATTTTAAGAAACCTGGTAACCCTTCAACCCAGCATGATAATGGCACAATACCATGACCCTGAAACATTTCCTTATTGAAAAGAAGTCATATAAAGATAGTAACACATCTGATGCCTGTGACCTTGAAAATAGGCCAAGGTCATTCATTTGAACAAACTTGGTAGCCCTTCACCCCAGCATGCTACTGGCCCAATATCATGACCCTGGACCACTATGTTATTGAGAAGAAACTGTCAAAGTTTTTTATAAAAATTTAAATAAGATGCACAATGAACACTGTCAGACAAAAGGAAATTTGCAATAGGTCTCTAGGGACTTCATTTCAGGTGACTTAAAAACAATTAATGGAATAATGTTGCCCCTCGCCTCCCTACCTTTTAACCAGCACTCAATCCAATTACCTACCTTCTGACAAGTCTTAAATCCCTTCACGGCCTTGTCAGCTAACTCAAAGTGTTGATCTAGAGGACCCCTGAAATAACATGTGATGTCAGCAATTAATAGAATTTACCTAGGTATAGAAATTTACTCACTGGGCGAAACAAAGAATCCCTGCACTATCACAACATAGTGTCTTGCACTGTAACAACATAGATAACAGATAGAAGGTGGGGAATGGAGATAAATTATTGTTGTATCCTATACATTTAGTTATGATTATACTGTAGCAGTTCTGATACAATACTATCAGAACACAGTGGAAATCGCTGTAACACCAGACATTATACAATATCAGTAGAAATCTATCCATCAAATCTAACAGGAAACTCTGAAACTTGTTATGTATGGTCGTACTTGAGCAGTCCTGTCAGTGATCGTTCAGTCTGTACACTCCTTGACATGTAGTTCCTCAGGCGACCTCCAGCCACAAAGTGTAAATTCGTCTTGTTTTTCTTTCCTTTTTCAGCAAAAAGCAATTTTATCAACTGCAACAGAAATATGAGTAAATTAATAAGAAGTGAGCGTTACGCTTAGTAACACTTCTGTAAAGTCTACATTAAGATGAAATAGTGACCATCTAACATAGTCTCATGGAAAAGGAAATGAAAAATTGCTTCAGTCACTGCCCTAATTACATCAACTAATGATTCAATATATTCTTTCATTGATTGAATGAACTTGTTATGTTACACAGATGTTTTTTACTCGATCTTAGCCTAACTCACCTGTAGATGAGTGAGATTTGACACATGTGTTCCACAACAGAGCGTGCCCCCATCAATACCTTCAATGTCCAACACTCGAACTGGTCCCACATGGTCCTCTGGTAGCCCCCGGCAACGAAACTGTTGTCAAAAGAACATTCAGGAAATTTACTACTGTACAGGAAATTTTAAGCCCTATAAAATAAAAAAGGTTTGTGGTAACTGTATAAATGGATCACAAGATTACTTTTGGGGAAACTAGGATATTTAGATAAATTAGATTTGGATTGTGGAAGATGTCATATACTTATTTGCAATATGAATAAAGACATGTAACTATCTGTTGTGTATGTTCCGTACTTCCTTCAGTTTGGGATCGTCTTTTTCCTGAAATATATGGCATGTGACTGGGATCTGTTCCAGGATTTTTTCGTTGACCGTTTCCTCCAGCTTGACAACATCCTCTTCTGTCAAGGCTGGAATATCTAACTCTATAAAGGATGTTTTCTCTCCCAAACACCTACAGGATAAAGTTTTACATTTAATTAACATCTTAATAAAAAAACTGTAAAGATAAATGGATTGTAAAACTCTGCTTCAAGCACCAAGTCTACCAGTATATTGCAAATAATCTTTTCATTAACAGAACAAATTCCAAAAAATATATATAGTATCTAGTAATAACCCTATCAGTTGCTATTTCTATTCAGTAGAATTACAACTAATAGCTAAATCATTGTCCTGTAATAAATCCAACCTCCGTTCCCCTCCTCTCCCCGTCCTCTAACCCCCATCCACCAACCTCCAACCCCCAATGCCCGTCTTCCAACTTCTGACATTATCATGAAAATTGTTACCCACAAAATGTAAGTGAAGACAGTATTGAAGACAGTATACATGACATACAAACTCTAATAATATCAGAATTCTTACCACGACGTTGTAGGACATCCATACATCTGTTCTGCTATAGCTGTGATTAGATGCTGGCCTGGGAACATAATTTATCATCACAACAATTGAGGGTTTTGGTACACATTCAAAAGTGAAATATTTCTGTTAATATCAAAATTTTCAACATATATCTAGTTATTTGTAATTGTTTTATGATTGAGCTACTGACTTCCTTGGCCCAAGGTGAAAGTTGCATTATTGTTTGAGCCAATGGGAGAGTGCTAGGAACTCGGTCCTATGGAGGATCTGGTATTCACATCAAAGGAATAGAAACAAGTATAATATATATAAAAAATAATACATTTATTTTAACAACATGTTACGTTCATAAGAACTGTTTTGAAATTTTAAACTTAAGAAAAAATATTGTTTTATTGTACAAGCTTTTCTTGGATATCCTTAAAACATAGTTGTTCAAAGATTTTGTATATCAATTTCTTATCATGTATGCATTCTGAGTCTTAATTTCAAAGATTTTTACACAATAATCAATTCATGCTGTATAGCGAAAAGATGAGACCAATCTGGACCAGTATATTTGTGACAGCTAGGCTTGACTCAAGTGCTTTATAATCATCTTACCTGTATGTTGCTGCATGTGATCAAATCTGCGAGTCCAGTCCACCTTCATGTCAACCTCGGTATCTGTGGGGATTTCTGTGGTTACAAAGTTTACAGCCTCTGCCCCTTTCCTTGTGATACGTAGCACATCTATACTGTTAATCTAACAATTAGAAAAAATGAAAACTATGAATTAAGTTTTCGTGAATTTTGAGGGATTTTTCTTAAAAAGATATTTATTTGTTCATTTACCAATTGAATAACAAGAGGCCTAGCAGCCTTGACAGTCACCTGAGATAAGCAATATTGGTTATAAAGATTAAATGGTAAGTAGCTTTCAAGCATCATGAAAAAGATATTGTAACAATGATGATAGTAAGCCAGTGCCAATACATCCAAAACATCAAAACTGTCATCCTATACTAAGAGTTTTTACAAAGTTATTCCCAGTGGGAAATACAGAATGCTATGATCAAATAACACAATTTTTCTATGAAAATTACAGTAAAGATAACCACCTCCCCAGGAAGAAATGTGAGACTCATTATGTTAATTAAAGCACCTCAAAATAGCATTCCATGCATGAAGAGCATTTATCCTACCATAGCTGGGTGTTGAGGAAAAGATTTTTGAAATCTGAGGCAATCTGACCCCTTTTGGCCCCACTTTTCAGCTCCTGGGGATCAGCCACCATCGATATGGGCATACCATCAATTGTCATCCTTTGCTCATAATTCTAATCAAATTTGAAATGTTTCCAATGGGAATTAAACATATTATGCTTAAAAATTTATTATGCCTTTATAAACTATAGTATAATTTACCCCTTCCATACAAGGAAATGTGAGATCCTGGAGCAATGAAATACACAATTTCATTTGAGAAGGAGTCAAAAATGTTAAATTGTTTATGTATGCACAAAACCAGAGGTGATCACAATAGGTCGCCATGAGACACTGTCTCAGGTAACTTAGAAAAAAATAATTAATGGTAATCATAAATAAAATTTATTGCTATTATAAATAAAAACAAAAAATAAATTAGAAAAATAATTAATAAATAACATTGCTTGTTATAAAGAGAATCTTAAACGCCATTCATTTGAAATGGTTCAAAATGTCTTAAGAATTTTGTATTTTTACTGAGTTTCTGGAATGTGGAAATAAATGTTTATATAACTTAAGAGATATTTTTGAAAACATTTTGAAAACAACATTTTGTTAGCACAAAATTGGAAATATTCTTACACGTATCTCTTTTTTGGTGGCGCGAAGTTATGACATTACAATAGAAACGAGGGACATTCAGCTAATCACAGCTGTGTAAGGTCGTGTTAAAACCTCAGTGACCTCAGGATTTTAATGTGATAAAATGTATACATATCAATGTACAGGTAAAGTATACATACTGTTCCTCTGTCGTCTGGCTGAAATATAAGACCACAAAATTTACAAATATTGACAATTCATAGAAATATGTGCTACAATTATTAAAACACTTAATTTTCTTTTTTCAATAACAAATAATCTTATTAACATACAATTTTATTATTTTTTCTGCAATTTTAATTTATACGTTCACAGGAACAATTGTTGTAAAATTGTAGATATTAAACAAGACCTCATTAACAAGTCATTTTTCAACAGATTTCAAAATAAACAAAATATGCCTGTTTTTCAATGTTTCCATTGAAACTTGCTGTTGCTTGTTTATTTATATTTTCCCAGTATAAGTTAAGAAAATAATGCTCAAATAACAAAACTTCAGTTCCACAGGAGATTTTATTAATGAGGTTTTAACTATTACTATCTAGTATTAAAAAAAGAAAGATATTTTCTTAATACCTGTCCACCGCCTTCAGGAAATAGAACAGTATCCTCCAAGATCACCTCGTAACCTTTGACTTTGCCTTTTTTCCCATTTGTTACAAGTGTGGCCTCCGCTGGCACACAACTTTTCACCTTAGATTTGAGCTTTAATAGATAAAATTTAAAGATTACAATATGAAGTACGTGTAAGTCCTGTACACTGAAAACTAGCTGTGGCAAGCTCTCTTTTTCTCTATTCCTGATCCGCTTTCTATTATACTTAAAAACCTACCAGATGTACTTGAAAATGTGGTCAGGTTATTTACAGAGGATATGAAACCAACAGTGATCACAGAAGTATGCTTTCTGACATTGATAAACTATTGAAATGGACCAACAACTGGCATCTGAAAGTTAAAGCACAGAAATATTAACACCTCTGTCTAGGAACAGATATCAGACACTGTAAACCACGAAATGGACAATATCACAATTCAAAAAGTCGAAGAGGAGCAGGACCTGGGTGTAACCATAGACAAAAAAGTTTACGAGTCATATTCAAACATCAGCTATAAAGCCAACAGGTACTTGGTGTAATTAAAAGAAGTTTCAAATATCTAAAGAAGAATTTATTTGGTGACCTCTACAAATCATTGGTGAGATCCTGCTTTGATTATGTCTGGTCAATAAATACCAATAAGGACGAAGTTTCCATTGAGAATGTTAAAAGATGTGCAACCATACAAATAAAATCTACAGCACTGACATACGCGACAAGGACATTTCTGTTTACATCAAGTGAAATACAAACTAGAGGGCACAGCAAGAAACTAGTAAAAGAAATTCTAGACTGAACATATGAAAGAGCAACTTCCCAAATATAGTGATAAACGTCTGGAATTCCCTACCACAACTGTTTAAGACCTAGAACAAGTAGGTACTGTCATATTTTGTTTGAATATATATCGTGAATATCTATATCTATGGCTATCAATAAGTATATAATAAGTATTGACAATTTAGCAGTTTAAACACATAACATCGCGGAAGGGTGGGAGGGGTCGAAATAGGACTATCACACCCTAGGTGCTTATATCTGGTATTTAACAGTCCCAATTTTAAAGTTCCATAATCCACTTTAGTTTACACTATTATGGATTATGGAGTTTAAATATGTTGAGAACATCCAAGGATTTGCAAGGATGCATAAAATTCCCACAAATCCTTTCATTAAAGAGGATTTTTTCTTATCTGACACATATGGTGTACACATACATATGTTGGTAATTAATAAGTATTTTTTAATAATAACCACACAAACAGGCATTTAAATTTTGATTCACATTAATATAATTGTCTACTTTGCTATGGTTTACCAGTATGTGATAAAAAACCCTTTTTACACCCACTGATCAACAATGACAATATTCAGTCTTGCCTCTGATAACACATTAATTAAACCATTTGTCAGAAAAAAAAATCCTATATAGCTAACATATTTCGAGACTTAAATCAGTTGTTGATAATTCCATTTTGAATGATTTTTAAACGTTATATGGAAGCACTTGTCCACCAATGTGTCAGAGTTCTACAGGAGAAAAATCACAGGAGTCTCGCAAGACTCCCGAGAGAATTACTCTCTAATGACGACGCATAGGAGTGATATTGCATCATATTGTTTATTACTATTGGCCAGGTTCGAGCGTCTGTGTTAGTTATACTGAAATTGAAGTTAGCTGATTTCGTTAGTGAATGGCCCCTTTCAGTATGTTTGAAGTATTGTTTAACTAGATTTCAAGTTTAATATTTTACCTCTCGCAGGTAACTGTTCCTTTGACATGCTAACGCCATTTCGACAATGCTTGTTTCACTTTCAGACTCGACGTTAAGCAGACGCTTGTATTATTTCAGGTCTTTGAAATGCTTTAATTCCGTGTGCTTCCTCTAAGCACCGTTGACCGTGTACATCCATTCGCTTTTCGTCGGCAAACCAGTACTGCATCCGTCATGATGTTAACCATTTACTATTTCTCATAATTTGTGTGGTTTATCAAGACACACTTCTATATTTAATTTGAAATAATAAACAACCAAATGTTACCATCGTTCACCGTGACATCGGGCTCATAATTACATTAGTGGGTCATCATCTAAGCCACACTGATGTCACGTCATTGAGGTCACAATGCGGTGTCTCATCATTTAAATTGCTATGTTTTTTCAGGTCACAATAAGAGTCTTCATATTGGTGTCTCTCCCCGAAGGAGGTCATCAGGTGTCGTTAAGGACAAACTGGTCTCAACAATATAACTGTGTCTCGTTTTCCAAGTTCGAATTTAAAGGCATTAGACTGACTTCAAAGTTACCCTAACACAAACCGAATCTAGATAGACCCCCAACTCTTCCTTTCAGCTTCTGGACATGTCACAACTGTTAGAGTAGAGTTATGATAAGGCCATGGAGCTGTCTACTAAAATCAGTATAATCAAGCGATCACCGCTACAGACGTGTCCCATCCTACTGAGGGGGATGCAAGTCGCCAGAACACTGACGCTCGTGGTTGAGACGATACGGCAGGAGTCACGGAGATGAAAAAAAGGTCAACAAACTGACCAGTTCCACGTTTACATTGGTGTCATCAACAATGCTACAGTAGTGTCTCGTTAGTCCTATTTTTGTCTTGTAAATATCACATTGGTCTCTTTTTCTTAGAGGTGTCATCATTCAGATATCTCCTCATGGTCTTGTCAAGATTACATCAGTGTCTTTTAATGAGGTTATAACTTGTCACATAATGGCCATATCTGTGTATACAGGTGTAATGATGATGTCTTATCCAGCTCACATGAATTTGATCAGTATCTTACTATAAAGGTATTTACTGTGTATCATCAAGGTCACTTCTCTACTTTGATATTCCTGGTTTCTGGTCACAAGTTCACATCAGAACCTAATAATTTTAATGCCTTATCAGTTACATTTGTATATTTAAGGTCAAATGTTTGTCTGGTTATCAATGTCACATTTTATCATCAACCTTTTAAATTATCACCAATGTCACATAAACTGTCTTTGCCTCATCACCAAGGTGATACCTGTGCCTCTCCATCAGGTTTCTCTGTGTGCCTTATCACCTTAGTCACCTTTGTGCCTCACCATTAGGTTCATTTGTGCCAGATCAACAAGGTCACATACTGTAAATCACTTCTGTTTCATGTGGGATTTATTTTCATGTTAATATGTGAGGAGAGTAAAAAGCTAATTCAAACCTATCACCATTATTTGTACAAAAATAACTCTGGGGGCATCAATGATGAGTTGGGTTATCAATATCCCAGTCTTGAAGATTTCATACCTCTAACTGATCATCATTCCCAAATTTGAAGTCATTCCTAGATCAGCATTTGCAAAATCATGAATTCGCAAATAGGTCTCAAGACCTAAATATTCAAAATTTTTTGCAAAATCTATGTGATTTACAGTAATTTATGCCTCAGCCTCATCACCAAGGTCACATCTGTGCCTCTTCCCCAAAGGTGAACATTCCTATCATCAAAGTTACTTTCATTTCTTAGTCAGTGTCTTTTCCACATAAATGATACCATTTCAAAAAAAAAAAAAAAAAGAAAAAGAACAACAATGAGACACATGAGCTTTTGATAATTTTATAACATTATGCACAACTCCAGTGCACATTGTGTAGTATACTCCCAATGCTTAAAATAGGGTTTCCTTAGAACAATATATATTGAATGATATTGGACATAAACAACAGAAATATAGAATGATAAAATTACACAAAAATGCTTTTCATCAACATATCTTTTCTCAAAGAGCCATTTATTTAGTGGTTTTATTTTTTTAAAAAAGCTTAGTATATTTTAAACTTTCATGTAAAAAGAAGTAACGGCAAAATATGCCAAGCAAAAAAATTAAATGCAAGGTAAATACAATTCTACAGACAAATAAAACTAACATATTGAAGATCACTGTGTCACAGCTGAATCAGTGGTATGTAAGTTTTATTGGCAGTACTTAGAGAGGATTCAGGAGATATGGTCCTCTGCATACCTAAATAATGTGTATCACAACTTTCACATAACAATAACAAAATAATTTAAACGCAGCACTGCAAATATTGCAAGGTCTTAATCATCTTCCGCTGTACTTTACAAGTACCAATTAACATCACAAATTAACAAGACATTGTAACAGATGCTTTCGCCTGCCCAAGGCAATTCCATTCATCCCTTAACTATATACACACGTTTACAGGTCGTTCCTATAGTTTTATATACATATATAATAGTTTGTGTAGTTTCTGCAGTATCAGTGAGCACACAAGATCACATACATTAGATGATGAATCATGTACACTATATACAAATGTAACAACTCCGTAAAGTGTATGAATGGACAGCATTCAATAGTAAGAACACTCAAACAAGAATACATACAATGCTTATTCATATTCCAAAGCTCTAGAACAAAAGTGTTTTAAAGTAGATTTCTAATGTTGTCAATTGACATTCTAAGGCTCTAGAACAAAAACACAAATAACCCCCAAAACATCCAATGTCTGTCCATTAATATGTTCTAAAGCTCTAGAATGAAAATATTTAAAAACGAAACTTTTACATGTATCAACAAGTCTATGTATCAATATCAACAAAATTTTACTAAATCCACGATTGAATCTCTGCAACCATGCACCTTAAAAATGTTCAACAATTTCTTACTGAACATGACAATAAAAATATTCAGATCCTTCACAGTTATTTTGGCTATTTTCTACTATAGCTTTATAATAGCAAATTGCACTAGTTTGAGGAAATCACAATACATAATATATATAATATATAGAGGAAGGTATTATGGCACATGTCTTCAATGAAAACGTTGTTGTATTTACTATCTAACAGCACTAAAAGTCTTCCCTCGGGTGTTGTGCATGTGGGAGATAAAAGTATACTTTCACTATACATAAAATCAAGCCTTCTGTAGCTTCCATAGTATAACATGAATGTAAAGGAGCACTTCTGTAAATATTTTAAAAACAACAAAGATACTTCAGAATATTACTAAAGACCTCTTGTATGTGTTAAACCTCAGATTATCTTTAAAGAAAAAAAACTTCTCACCCATACAGTATAATTATACACTGTTAACACTGAACAAACTATAAGTCAAACCATTTTTATAAAAAGAGACCAATATTTCACCTTTTTTATTCGATTAACAGAATTTTAATTATCTTCCCTAAAATAACTCTTTCTGAACTTTCAAAAAATTACTAAGTGTAAAGAAATTTCAGACATTCAGCATGATCTGATCATAGGAAGATTGTTTAATTTACCAGGTTAATTCTGTTCCTGAAAAATGTCTTGCAGTTGTTTATTTTGGCAAAACACAAGTAAAAAGCCTATTCACTTATGAATAAACTTCATCCTCATACTAGAGCCATCATGTGGCCTAGGCAAGACTTACATCCATGTGTCTATCAAAACACAAGATGAATTCTTTGTGGCAGGCCATTTTGAAACTTCTAAAATTGATACAGAAAAAAAAATTGAAATTGTGTTAATATCCATCCAATAATTCATTTCATTTGCTTCAATGAATTATTACGATACACTTACCACCCACTTACTAATGCACTTTAAACAATTTAAATTGATGATGGGACATAGAATGAAACCAAACAGTAGTTATGAGAACAAAAGATTTTTCTATAGAAAGATGGGCACCTGTGACTCCGATAGATTCCTCCTAATAGCACTAGCAGACTATTCAAGCGTTGTTGTTTCTAAAACACTATACACAAAGTAAAACAAAATCATGGCGTGATTAGCACTAGGTGTAACAAATACAGACATTATAACTATAAATAAGTAGATGTCTGGAAATCTGACATAAATAATGAAGTATGTAAGTCCTCTTCTTTCATAACTACTGATGAATGAAGCCAAATGTAATACTGGACATCATCTTTCTGATAAAAGTTAAATTTTATGTAATGTATTATTATTTCTTAATTCCCCTCACCTCTGTATACAACAAAATCACAAAAGCCTATTTACTTAATTCAACAGTAAACAAATTGTCTAAAAATAACAATATTAAGTAAATCTTGCATTCCCTACCATGTTCAGAGCAAGCCAATGATTTTAAGGTTGAAGCCACAAATTCACATATCAAAACAAACAGGTTTCATCAATACCATAAGACTATGTATGAACTTGAAATGTTGTACTTATTCAGTGATGTTTGTGTTCAAGCACCACATACTGAGTTTATCATCAGAGACGTAATACAGGTAATGGACTTGTACAAAACTGAAACATTTTACTCTGTTTTCTAGACTCAATTTTTGACAGTTTTTGTAACAAAATACTATAAACTTTTAATGTTAGGGGATGATAACTTAAAAACTGTTCAATAACAATGCTTGTTTCATACAGGATTGAAATATTCATGTATAATTTCAAACTTTTGTATGACGTCTCTTATTTCATTTGTCATTAAAAAGAAATGAGGATAACAAAAGTTAAAGGAATATCAAGAATAGGTATGGTAAATTTGAGGAAACTCACCAATATATTTGTAAAGTAAAAATATTGGTACTGAAAAACAATGACAAATGCATGGCAAACATAATGACTGAACAATTGTTGTTAGCAGTACTAGTGTCAAACAAAGTTGTATTTATTTAGCGTCAACAATTTTCCCAGAAGGACATGTATACAATAAGGTATAACTACAGGAATTTAATTCAAGAATCTATGAAAAATTGCCAAAACACATGTAGACCATTTTTTTCTCCAAATGCAGAATATGATAAAAATGTATCCAGTAACAAATCAATTTCCTGTTTTTGGAATGCACAAAATTGTATTATAATCTTAGATCCATTATCACTTTTGATTCACTACAACATAAGGCGAGTTTTAAGGAATCTTGTCAATTTTGTAGACGAACTCAAGTTGATCTGTCTTCCTGAAAAATTTCAAGGCAAAATTGAAGGTTCCATGTGCGACAACTTGTGGATAAGACAAGAAGACTAGTTTGATCCTTTGATGTACATCAAACCAATCTCGACTTCACCCAGCAGTATCTTTGTTAGCAATCTACAACAGAGTGTAATCAGTCTTTGATCGGTCTGGTTTTTCTCCTGAAACCCAATCTATGGTTTTTCTCCTGAAACCCAACATAGATCAACTAAACGACTTTGCTTGTGTCTTCAATTTTGCTATGAAATATTTCAGGGGTGCAGGGAGTGTAACCTCTGTAGTATCGAGGATGAAATTACAGTAAATATCTAAAACAAAGCTAAAATGTCAAGATTATCATTATCTGGCATGGAATTATGGGCCTTTTAAATTAATTTCCTTCCATTAACTTGTTTGACACCTGATGAACAGAATATGTTTCACAACATGCCTTCACAAAACTATGTGAAAATATTGCATCTAATCTTATGCCGAACACCAATACCAGGTTTATGTTTTTTTTTCTTTTTTTTTCTTCATAAAATCAACAATCAAAAAATGTTTTACAGTTAATCTGTTCATATCATGGTATTTCGTTCATACCTGCATTTCCCTACCTACTTAAAGGGGCATTACGTCGTTGAAATAATTTTAAGTTCCGTCGTTGAAATAATTTTAAGTTATAACAAGAGGCCCATTGGGCCTGCACCACTCACCTGGTGTATATATTAAATTTTTAAAAATTCATTAAACAAACTTAAAAAGTGGGTATAAAATTAATTATGTAAATGAAAAAACACACGGTAAATGGACCTTAATGGTAATCTAATGATGAAGAAGGCTAGGCGTTATGTAGTATACAAACGTAGTAGCAGTAGAAGTTTTTAACAAGTCAAAATAATTTCTTTTTGCACATTTTGCCGGGCTTCATCCTAGGAACATAACTGCCAAATGTCATGTCTCTAGACCTTTTGCTTCATGAAAAAGTCATTTAAATGTTTCAACAAATTTGAGCCCTATGACCTTCAATATCAGTGGAGGTAATTTATTTTTGCACACTTTTTCAAGCTTCCTCATTGGAATACACCAGTCAAATATCATGTCTCTAGGCCTTCTATTTCATGAGACAAAGTCATTTAAAGGTTTTAACAAATCTGACCCCTATGATCTAAATATACATCGATTTTGTTTCTTTTTGCACACTTTGTTGGGCTTCATTATAGAAACACACCAACCAAATATGAAAACATTTGTCCATTGGTTATTGAGAAGAAGTAAAAAATTCACATCAGAAGATGGACCCCATGCCACAGAGAAGGGCCAGGTGAGCAAAAAACGAAATTAAATGAAAATCATGTAGAAGTCCAAAGACACAAATTCTTTGAAGTGTTTCTTTCGACCAGAAGCATGAGGATTAATACCACCTGTGAATTTAAAGACGAGCAATGCCCAGTTGAGTTGTTGTAGTAATTCAACACAAAACCAATGGCTGACGTTTGCAATTCACTAATTTGCTAGAACAGATTATTTACAAGTTCACTAAAATCAAAATCAGTTAAGAAACAAAGAAAAATTAAACAAGTGAGGGAGAGAAAAATCATTTATCATTAAAAAAGCCGTTGAAAGGTAGAAGACGGCAAACAGAGCTGCGGCACTTTCAACAAATAACAAAAATTGGCTCCACTTCAGTTAGACAGCGGTAAGTAATGAAATCATTTAAACTAATTTGGAGACCTTATTTCAATTTCTGTTTACATGGTACACATGGTTGTAGGGTGGGGAATCATCAGGCTGTGCTATGTCTGTGAGATCATGTGATATCTAGACAAAGCTAATGAACCAGTGATGAAATATTTTAGTACCAATTAGTGTTCAGACAGAGTTTAAACATTATGTGTGTATGTTTTTTCTGTTCAATGCCATACTTATTTCATCACTGTCAGGCACATGTATTTTAACGATCATCATTTAGGTATATAATTTTAAAGTATATAGTGTAGCATATTTTTGCTGTTGAACGATGGAATGCCCCTTTAAACCAAAATCTGTTGATCCATAGCTTTCATTTAAACTTAAACTTATCACAAAACATGAGAAATAACTAGGCATGATGTCTATTAATTCAATTCTATAATAAAACACTTTCAATATCATTCTGCCATATTCCATCTTACCATGTAAACTAATTACATCTATGGAACATCATAACAAAAATGTCTGATGCTTTGTTGTATGTCAGTTCTTTTTACCAGTACGTTTACCAGAACATCATATCAACAGAAGCAACAATATTCTATCATTAAATAATGCAAATTTTCACCATCCTAAAAACACAACAGGTCACCTAGCCTTCCGTTTTTTGTTGGTTTTGCCCCGAATGGCAGTTTTAGCTTGGATTTTACTCTCCGTTTCCTGTGCTTGTCTGTCAAGTTCAGTCATGGCCTCATGTATGGCCGCCTCAAGGTTTGAGTTCATCTTCCTTCCCCTGTAAAGATGTAAATAATGATGAAGCAAAATTTTTAATTAACATCATAATACATGAAAATAAATAAAACATTTGACAAATTATGAAATTTAAGCTCAATGAAATCATGAGCAGTATACACAGCAAGTTTTTGAAAACCTACAAATAAAATAACAGTGTAACAGCATAACAGTACTTCATTAAAATATAAATGAACATTTTAAACATGAACAGTTTTAACAAACCTAAATTTAAAATGTAAAAAAAAAAAAAAAAAGTATGTTTTGTGTTTAACTCATAGATCTAATATCACTGAAATGACCTTTTGACCTTAACTGTAAAAGATCGCCTCACTTTCTGTACTTTTTCCTGGCACGATGGTGAGCCTCCAAACCCTCGGACAGACTCTTGAGCTTATCAGGTTCTACCTCTGTGAATGTGTGATCACCAAACCATTGTACCCAGCACTGAAACACACAGGTCAAAAGTCATTCCTGTTATAATACACTCAAATTAATGTACCCAGCTCTGAAACACACAGGTCAAAAGTCATTCCTGTTATAATACACTCAAATTAATGTACCCAGCTCTGAAACACACAGGTCAAAAGTCATTCCGGTTATAATACACCCAAACCAATGTACCCAGCACTGTAACATGCAGGCCAATGGTCACTTTTGATATTAATATACATGAACTCTCAATTATGACATTAAAAGAGTTTATTTGTTTAATTTTTCTTTTTTTTTAAAAAAAAAAACTATATTAACAAGGAAAATAAAATAGAAGGAACAAAATTTCATATGAACAGTTTCAACAGAATTTTTCACTGTTGAAATGATATCTTACAGTTTAAATCATGACAGAAAAGGGTTGTATATTATAGTAGAATACCTTGCCAGCATCAGGTGTATGCCCCTCCTTCACTTCTTTCTCATCCACAACCTTGCCTGGCCAGGAGGGAAAGCCCCTAATCTGTCCCCACACCAGATCACCGGCCGCAAAGTTGTGAGGGTATGATGACAGTGATATTTCTGACGAGGAACTGTCTTCTGAATAATGCAACAAAAAAGTTGGTCTATTGAGTTATGCATACAAATACTGACCTATAATTGTTTATTTCTTAGTACAGCATTTGTATCAACTATTTGTCTGAATTAGGACAGCAGAATCCCAAACTGTCTTATCTACCAAGCTATGCTTCCTCAGTAATTGTGAATAACATAATGCTATTAAGTGTGACTTTGTGTTAAGACATTTTGGAACTTAACTGCAACTAAGTGATTAATATTGTTTCTTTAGTTTGGAAATTCTGTTCCAAAATGAAAGTTCCACAGAGTATAGGTTAACAATGTCAATTTGCATGCAGTCACTTACCGTCATCAAACGAGTCAGTGTCTATCTCACGAGAGCGCTTGCTCACCCTGTTGACAAGCGTGAGAGCATCTGCAGCTTTTTGGGCACGCTCACTGGACAATTCAACAGTGTTCATCAAGTGATTGGCTTGGAAGAAGTTGACCTCGACCCTGTGTCCTAGGTCAGACTTGACAGCTGTCACTACGTCTGATGGAAGATTTGCCTCCTTGGGTTTCTCGGCAATACTAGGGTCGTGCTCTGGACTAGATTTCTGACGGATCTTATGGGTCTTGTTGATGGCGCCTACAGTTGAGGACACAGTACTTACAGCTAGTTGAGGACGCGGGTGACTCTGCTGGCTGCCATCACTGATTTCAAAATTTGAGGAATCTGTTAGGTTTCTTCCAGATGACACGATACCACCATCTAGAACATGAGTTGGTGTGTTTGCACAATTTTCCTTGCTATCATCAGTATTAGATTTTGGGTTTAAATTGTCACATTCAGAATTTGTATGACAGGAAGATGTGGCTCGATTTTGAGTATCTTGTATTTCTGATTCAGAGCACGACATCACAGAGCTAGAGTTTCTGTGGTCTGTGACTCGATCACTGCTTTGGTCAATACTCAACTGTCTCTCAGTATCAGAGGTCCTTGACTGCTTATATTGTGATACTGTTCCATTATTTTTTTTCAAGTTCTCATCCTCATCATTTTCATTTTCTTGCTTACTAGAGTCAACAGAAAGTGAATTATTGCTACTTTGAGGAGATACATCTTGTTCTGAGATACAGGATGTGGTCACTAGTGAACATTGTGTACTGTTTATAGCATCCTCTGTGATAGATTTCTGGTTGCTGGAACAAGACAGGGTGTCACCACAAGGTTCCAAACTGGTTGGTAATGAAGTGGACTTGTAGAATGTACCACCAATTGAAGCTGTACTAGATGTTGCACTTGGCAGTTCAGATGCATGCTGTGATGTCTCTAAATGAGATGAATTACCACCTTCCACAGAAGAACTCACATTAGTCCTGCTATCTTCGCTTTCACTGTTTTTTCTACAATGTCTTTCAAATGTAGAATCAAAAGAATCTGGTTTGCTTTCCGAATGGCTTACAACTGTAGATGCTGGAGTGTCTATTTTAAGATCAGGTATACTCATATCAACTGCAGTTCTCACAGGCATAACAATATTGTTGCCTGTAACAGGGTGTGTGAGAAAGGTTTTGCCATCTACTGTTAGGCAAGTTTCTGCACTGTTTCCTGTGGTTATGGCGACAGCAGCGAGGCCATTGCTGACCGTGGTGGTGGTCGTTTTGTTAGTCACACTACTTATGGGGTTACCAGGGTTACTCTGCATGTTGAACTGACTTATAAGTGTTTGCATTCCTTGTAGCTGCTGAATCTGTTGCAGTAGCTGTTGTTGAAGCTGAAGTGTCTGCAGCTGCATCGCAGTCAGGTTACTTCCTGTCGTCAAGTTGTTCCACACCTGTTGGACATTCATCATGTTGAGAGGCGTGCCAACTTGGGTAAGACCTGCCTGAAGCTGACCGATCAGTGCCTGGATATCTGCCTGGCTCTGTATGGGATAAGGCTGCTGTTGAATGCTACATCCAGCCGTCTTGTCAAGCAAGGTCGGATTAGAGGCTGCTGACATTTGGTTAGCGTTAAGCACTTGCAGCAGAGGCATTTGCATGTTTTGGAGCAGCACCATTTGTCCTGCAGAGGTAGTCACAGAGGGCAACACCTGTTCACATGGCAACTGCATCTTGTTAACCTGATCTTGTAAGTCCTCGGGTTGTGTTGTCATGGTTGATTTCATCTGCATGGTGCCTCCCTGGTGTTCTGTGGGTATCAACTGTGTCATTGCTGGGCCAGCTTTGTTGAGAACATTAGGGTCCATCAGGTTACGCTGACTTGAGACCATGTTACCCAAGTCAATGTTTTGTGCAATATTATTACAACCAATGAAGCGTGGATAGTTAGACTGGTTCATGCCATTGAGATAGGTATTAGGCCCAACTGTGTTATTGACCAGTGATAGACAAGGCACGTTGTCCTGAGGCAGGACTTGACCAGTCAACACCATCTGGGTTCCTTGACCACTAGCTGTTGCATTGTTCTGCATCGTATTGAGCCCCAGGTTGTTAAAAAGATTCATCACTGCTTGCTGACTAAGGAGATTCTGAGAGCCATTGGTTCCTATTGCTGGTATCACTTGTGTCAATGAGTTAGTCACTGCAGTAACCAGTGGCAGGGATATTGGTGGCATGGGTGTATTGACACTGTTAGTCTGAACATGTTCCAGGGCACCGATGCCAGCGGGACCCATCACGGACTGCACAGGTAAACTGCCCAAGTGTTTCATCAGATTGCCATCAAAATGACCTTGTTTAAGTAATGCTGTTGTATTTATACCATTGACAGGCTGGGCAAGAATTTTGGAGATCGTGTCTGTGCCTGGGCCGGATGCATCAGAATCCTGTTCGCCTGGGTAACTTTTCCCAAGGGAAGTGTTTAAGGACGAGGTACAATCCGTTGACGATTGACTCTGTAAAGCAGATACAATGCTACTTGAGTGTGAAGGATTGCTAACAATACCAAGACTACCAGATAAGCTTTGGTTGACCACCATCGGACCACAGTCAGTTCCAGCTCCTACCAAAGTGGAAGTCGGGACCAACTTTCCATCCACTCCTACAGGCAGAGTGGATGCTGGGTTAATGGTCATTGGGAATGATTGACTAATCTGGATATTGGGCAGAGGTTGTTGCTGGTTAATCATAATGTTCATATGATTGTGTTGCTGTTGTACCATTTGTGCCCTTGCTGCAGCTGATAGCAGATTACTTGCTGGGAATTCGGTGGAGCTGTGATGTCCTAACATCTGCTGTATCAGGTTTGTGCTTCCAACATTCCTGTTAAATCTAGGACCACTGGTTAGGGTGGTATCCAGAGGCGATGATTTTTCCCTGTTGTGGTCCTCACTCCCAGTTTTACATGGTGCAGATACACTGTGTCCAGAAAACCCTTGTGATGTTGCCACATTTTTGTCTATGAGGAAAGTTTTATCTTTAGATTGCGAGTCATTCTTGCTCTCCGTGTCATCCTCGGTGTTTGATGGTGTGTGGTGAACCACAGAACTAGGTGTGATTGTCTCTGTAAACACCAAGCTTTCACTACCAGAATCTGGTGACAGAGACTCACATCGGTCCTTGGTAAACATGTCCTGATTAGTGTCAGGGAGTGGTATATGAGATTCAGATCCTGTGCAGGGTAATTTCAGGAATATGCCAGCATTTTCCAATGGATGCTGTGAAGATTTGATAAATGATGAGGACTCCTTAGATGCTGTGCCCCCACACATTGGTGCTAATGCTTGTGTCGAGGTAAATATAGGTTTTGAAAGTGAAATGCTGGTGGTGTTCATCACAGAACTACTTGATGTCTGAGACATACTTTTGGCCTTGACAACAACATCGCCGTCAACAGTGTCATTTTTTCCATCCTTACTGACAGAAGTTGAAGCGCTCTCGGACGTATTGCCCGAAGAGCAAGTTGGACTAGAAAGAGTAGAGGTCATAGAATTACTTATAAGTGCTGTCTGTTCTGCCAAAAATGCTGTGGGATTTTCTAGAAAAGACGAGGAAGATTTGACTTTTGGAATGGGACCTCTCCCTTGATCATGCAGCTGACTGACATCAACATTTGGGGGAGGAGTGTCACTTTCAAATACACTGTTCATCTTTTGTTTCTCCTTTTTTGGCTTTGATTTCTTGGGTTTGCTTTTCTTTTTCTCAGTCCATAGAGGGTCGACAGATTGAAACACAGGGTTGGGTGGATGATACATTGACTGTTGTTGACTCACACTGTACGGTGGCCGTCCTCCGAACCCCATTCCATGCATAGTATTCATGTGATATGGTGCGCTGGCCATGATATGGTTCTGATCCAATGGTTGGTTCATGAATCTAGTGGACGTGTTCTGAAGCTGGTATACTGGAAAATTAGCTTGGTGAACACCTTGAACAACAACACCCATATTCTGTGGGACATTTACTGGGGAAGTTCCACATTGGATGTTAGAGCCAAAGTTTCCACATGGAAGGGTATGGTTTGGAGGAATGAACCCATAACCTGGCGAGTTCCTCAATGGGTTAGTGGGAGATTGCTGAATGAATACTTGTTCTTTGAGATGTTCTTGAGAGAAGACTGTCTGCACTGTGAGCTGGTTCTGATGATGTAGAAAGTGGGCTGGTTGTTCGGCAGTACTGTCACTGCTTGACCCAGGCAGGATACCACTGTCCTCTTGATTACCAGGGCCATGGCTGAAGTCCAGCTTCACCATCTTACTAGAACTGATTGGCCCCAAGTCATCACTGGGATCACTACCTGCTGATCCTGATTTAACACATGATCTGTCACTCTGAGCACCTGGTGATTTACTGTCCTGTTTGCAATTTGACAAATTCTGCTCAGTGAAGGGATCGATTGAAGTCTGTCTGGTTCCGCTAACTCCTCCTTGGCCAGTCAGTCCCGCTGTCTGAGATTCTGATGAGTTGGGACTGGTGATTTTCTCACGGTTGGCAGCTTGAAGGGCAGAATTCTTCAGCTTTTCTCTCTGTGCCAAAAGCTCGGAGACTAGGAGGCGGTCATATGGATTTTGGCTGCCGCTTCTGCCCTTTTTCTTCTTCCCCTTGCTTTCTGAAAGTAAAGCAAAGCAACACTGATCAGAACGTTCACAATCCAGGAATGCAACATACTTTATGTACCTCTCCATCCCCACTTAAATCAAGATAATCTCAATAATTGTACCTAACAGCCAAAACAAAAATATTTTAAATACTTACCAGTTTTACAATATAAAGGGAATTTGACATGAGTTAGCAAAAACAGTTATATAATCAGAGATCTATCTACATGCAAGTCCCCAGTCCTGTACTCATAAATTTTTCAAAGAATTTCTGAAAATACTTCAGTTTTCCATTTAGGGACCAGTTGCTTTTAGTAATAAGGTTGAAAAGGAAATAAATTATAGCTTGAGCACTGCATAATTTTGATACTTTGGAAAATCAGACCATGACTCCCATCCCTGACAGGTCCAAATCATTACTTTCAAATTGCTATTTTGTTGTTAGCATTAACTTGATACAGGAACTAATGTGTATTTCACTTAGAATTTGCACACTGTGCACCTCCAAAAACAAAGAAATGGTACCTGTGTGTTTTTTTTAAACATTATTTACAGGAATAAATTTCCACATGAAATATACTTGAAATATAAAATTTCAGCCATACTTTATTACCTCTACAAAGTTGTGTATCAGGAATCAAAGAGTTACTGCATTAATTGACAGGCCAATGAAGTTAGCAAGGATTCTAGTCAAATTAAATTATAAGCACTCGATATATCCTCCCCCATAAAAAAGGAGGGGAAAGCAGATGGAGAAAGGAGGCAGGTGTGCTTACCAGTGCAGAAATTGACCTGGAATATGATATGTTTGATGTTACTATTCAACTGAATGACAAATTTTGTAAAGGAGATCTATATTTCTTATCAAAACCCCTGAATGTAAATCTTTGAAATTCTTATTTAACGCTGGCCTTAGTCAAAATCTGTGTTTATGATAAATCAACTCAAACTAGGAAATCAATAGAGATTAAATGATAACATGATTATGGGATGTATCACTATAACCAGGGCAGGTTCATCTACATAATCTACACCAGTATGTTTTGTAGGATTTTTGAAGGCAAGTCCAGAACATCAATTCCAAGATTTTGGCATGTCACAATACTGGGAGATATAGCGGGGTCTCAAAAAATTTGACCCGTCCCACAGGAAAAGCATGAGTTATAATAAGGACTCCAATTTCGGAGTCCTAAAAGTCACTATACATTTAAAAGTTTGACTAGCATGTAGTTATATGTTTATGTTTTAAGCAATTTTACTTTACTTCAATTTACTGAACTGCATGATCTAGATTATGTCTTTTTCATCACCTCTGAATTTTACAATTCCAGCAGAATCTCTTACAATCAAAGCTATATGAAAGAAGTTGTTTTTTATCATGCTCCATCATGAACATTACAAAGCTGAAGGCATGATAGGCATTGCCAAACTAATCAATACAGCAGTCAGAGTAAAATGGTGTACCACTCGCACATAAAAACCTAACATTCAAAACACACAGCTAACTCCTATATCAGATGTCATGTACTTTGATTGCTCTGGAGATTTGGCATATATATATCTACCAAGTGCAAGATGGGCATGAGAAACCAAGTAAACACTGCAAATTCCAATAGTAAAACAATCGATTGTTGCACGCATGTCTGCGGGTTAGTAACTGGAGATAACCCGAGTTGTTGATTGTATCTACACATCAGCCGCCTTTCATTACCTCACCAGTTCCATTATTATTGATCTGGACATTTTTTCACTGTTTAATACAAAACCTGCCTATCTATAGATTCATGCCTTGGTTTGTAAATTCTGCAGTTTTAGGATCACAATATACTATTTTCATCTGGCCATGTATTATATTGTTGTTAATTTTGTTACATTCTGTCAATATTTTTTGAAGATATGATAATTGATGTTCATGAAGAATGTTGACAAGGTACAAGTACAATGAGGAAGAATTTGGAGCTATGAAATATATATACATCTGCTGCATTTGAATATATCTCAAATCTTGTTTGCTGAATGAAACATCAATTACATAAATTGAAAGTTCAACAAACAAGAAAAGAACTACCAAAACATTTTGTAATGTTATGAAATATTTACATCACAATTTCTATTTTAAGTCTCTTTTGGCATGGGCACCAAGCCATTTTTAAGTGTCCATAGTCGAGAGGTGTTTTCATTAGTAAAAATAAACGTTAACTTAAAAAGTAAAGTGTTTATTTTTCAGAAATGTATATTAATTCACATTAACAACATTTTGAACAAGAGGCCTAGCAGCCTTGATGGTCATCTGAGATAAGCAATATTGAATATAAAGGTTAAACGATAGTTATCAAGTGTCATGAAACAGAAATCGTGACAATGAATATAGTGAGCCAAAGTCAATACACGCATACCATCATAACTGTCATCCTATACTGATACACTGTAATTCTTATAAAGTTATTTCTAGAGGGAAATAACCAACGTTAAGCTCAAAAATGCAATTTGATCCCTTTTGGCCAGGCCCATCAGCCCCCTTCATCCTTCACTCATAATTCTAACCAAGTTTGAAATATTTCCAATGAAAATTCAACAAATTATGCTCAAAAAGCTAGTTTTCCTGTATACACTATAGTAAACTTTACCCCCTCCCCATGGGAAAATAGGAGATTCTGGGGTTATAAAATCCACATTTTTGGCAAAACACCTGAAGATGCTTCATTCATGCAGAACATCTGATTTTATCATATCTGGGTATTGAGAAGGAGATAATTGAAATTTATGTCAATTTGATCCTCTTTTGGCCCTACCCATCAGCACCTGGGGGTCAGTCAGGACCAAAATATGCATACAATCAAGCCATCACCCTTAACTTATAATTCTAACCAAGTTTAAAATATTTCCAATGGAAATTAAACAAATTCTGCTCAAAAATCTAATTTTCCTACATAAACTATAGTAAACTTTACCCTCTGCACCTGGACATGACATATACTTAAAATAACATTAGCACCTAACTTGTGTATTATTTCCACATTGTGGTTGTGTATATCCTCCTGAGTGGTTGGCGTCCTGATTATAGCAAATGTAGTGAAAAATCTTCTGAACATATTTAAAAAAAAAAATTAAATCATTTAGCGCTTGTGTAAATTGTGTCATAATGTTATGTCACTGCCATTGAGGCTAAAAGCGATATACCTCTTATTATGAATATGTTGATTTATATGTTTTACTAAATATTTGAGGTGCATATCACAGATCAGTTTCTGGCTGGTTAACAGGTGTCTGCACTACCACAACGCAAACGATGACCTATATACTTGAGTGGCAGTGATGCAATGCAAGTCCAATGTTGTATCCTAAATATTAGATCTGTAGGTCAATCATTAAAAATTTTGTTTGAAATGACAGAAGTCATTGGTAACAAATCTAATATTTCATGTTTTTAAGTATTTGATACATTTTACTGCAAAATGACAGTTAACAGTTTAAAATGCTGCAATTTTAGTAAAGATTTGCGTTATTGTTTGATGTGGTTTAGTCGCCATCATTATGTCCTGATATCTTACTCTCAAATGTGACTGATATGTTTGATTCTTAGCCTCATAAAGCACAAGAAATCCAAAAACATACAGGAGAGACTTTTCTACATTTAGCACATTGTTTATAAGAAGCATGTAGCATATTATATCGCTAGTTGTTAATAGGACGCACACGACACCAAACACAACCTAGTGTCTTCATTAGATCTTTTCATTCTGCAATAGGTTTACTATTTTGATGATGAAATTTGCACAGACAATACACTTTGTAAAACAACTTTGTGACATTACTTTTAACACTAAAATTTTCTGGTGTATGACAGATGTATCTAATTTTTTTTAAACAAAACATGTCTGGGATGTAACATGGACTTGGATTCTGAACAGGATGTAATGCAGGACACCATAACTGCAACTGATAAATAAAATCATTGTCAAGAGATACAAGAGATCCCAGAGGGATCTGGACGCTCACCATTTTTTTTTTTATCTTTATATGCTCTTTGAAAGTTGGATCTTTTCCCTTTCTTTCTCTTCTTTGTTTTTGCTCTTAATGATAAGACATTTGAACATGTCTTTGCAGATATAACAATGATAATCTTTACCTACCAAATCCAAAATGGCCACCTGGAAGTCATTTTGTTTCTTCTGATCAGTCCCAAAATCAAATGAGCACAAGGAGAGACCAAAGGGAACATATGCATGAAATTTGAGAGATATCTATTCGGTACTTCTTTAAGAAATAACAACAATCTTTACTAAGCAAAATGCAAATTGGCTGTTTGTCAGCCATTTTGTTTTTCTGGTCAGTCCCAAACTCAAAAAGGCACAACTAGGGACTTAAAGGAACCTATACATGAAAGATCTATACAGTAGTTCTCAAAAAATAGTGATAACAAACTTTTGAAGTCAAAATCCAAGGTGGACGCTTGTGGGCCATTTTGTTTTTTCTCATCGGTACCAAAATTAAACAGGCACAGCTAGGGATCAAAGAAAGCATACACATGAAATTCGTAAAATATGTATGGTATAGTTCTAAAGAAATAGCGATAACAAACTTGCAAAGCAAAATCGAAGATGGCAGTCTGTGCCATTGAGTTTTTCTGATCAGACCCAAAATTAAATGAGCACAACTATGGACAAAGGAGAATTTACATATGAAATTAGAAATAGATCCATTTAGTACTTCCGAACAATTAGCTTTGAACAGTAAAAATCTAAGAAGGCCACCTGTCGGCCATTTCATTTTTCTGACCAGTTCCAAAATTAGACGTGCACAACTAGAGACCTAGGGGGACTTACATATGGAATTTGAGAAAGATCTATGCAATAATTCTCAAGAAAAAAGGATAACAAATTATCAAAGTCAAAATCCAAGATGGCCACCTTTTGGACATTATCTTTTATCAATCAATCCCAAAATATCATGGGCACAACAAGAGACCAAAAGGAACATATATATATATATATAATTTGAGAAAGATCTATACAGTAGTTCTAAAGAAATTGCAATAACAAACTTTCAAAGTCAAAATCCAAGATGGCCACCTTTAGGCCACTTTGTTTTTTTCTGATCAATCCAAAAATACCTTGAACACAACTAGAGACCACAAGGAACCTACATATGAAATTTGAGAAAGACCTATGCAGGAGTTCTCAAGAAATAGTGATAAAAAACTTTCAAAGTAAAAATCCAAGATGGCAACCTTCAGGCCATTTAGTTTTCTTCTGATCAGTCCCAAAATTAGACAGGCACAACTAGGGACCAAAAGGAACCTAGATTTGAAACTTGAAAGAGATCCATTCTGTACTTCTGAAAAAATATTGATAATAAACTTTCAAAGTCAAAATCTAAAATGTCCATCTGTCTGCAATTTTGTTTTTCTAATCATTCCCAAAATTAGACGGGCACAACTAAAGACCAAGGGAACCTATATATGAAATGTGAGAGAGATCCATCTCTTACTTTTCAAGAAATAGAGCTAACAAACATCATTGAAAAAATCTGAGATGGCTGCTTGTTTGCCATTTTGTGTTTTTGATCAGTCCCAAAAACTCAAACAGGCACTACTTGGGACCAAGGGGAACCTACATATGCATATGATGATGGTGGGCTAAAAATTCTTTAAAACAATATTTTGAAAATCTTCATAGATATATGGTATATATTCAGTTGCAACATAGAAAAAATGCATCTTCATCTATTAGTACCCAAAACAAAAAACTTTGGTGTCCTGTTATGTCTGCTAATTATTTTTGTAAATAAAACTTATTTGATGACCTAAAATTGAAGTTACAAATATTCATGGCAATACCTTAATTAAACAGATAGTAATTTTTCATGAATTTGACAATAAAATTTACTTGAGAAAGAAATATATTCCTAAATGCACTGTCTCTGGTGTCCTGCTGTATTTTCTACATCATTCAAAACAGAACTATCTTTATTGGTCAGCATACAACATTATGTCATGATATGACATCTATACATCATGGTGTTTCATCTGGTTTTAAATTTTCCAAAATAGCGGTCCCAAACATTACAAATATTTCATGATGCCAAAATTTTGACTCATATACAAAATTGATTCCCCTTCATCCAACAATGCTTTAGACTAAATTTGACGGATGGATGACAGATGATGGTGTATGCCATAAGCTCACTTGGGCTTTTTGCCATGTGAGCTCAAAATCTGGTAAAATTTTCTTCACGGAAGCCTTTGAGAAGTAGATGAAAATGTTGCTTACATATGCTAATCACAAAGACAATTGAAACATGATAAGATTTATAGGTTATAACTACCTAGATACTGCGTGAAGATGAGATCTTACAATTTAATAAAAATAAATAAACAGAACAAATATTTACAATAACTGAGAACAAATATATGCATCATAACATCTGATCATATATACAAGAAAATTACTTATATATTAAAAAGTAGTGTGGTAGTATAGTCTAGTGTATGTAGGGGAGACCATGATGATGATGGATGGAAGTAATAATATCAAATCCTTTAGTAGCCATGGAATGTAATAATGATGCAAACAGGCAAGGGAGGTACACGCTAGTATACAAGGGAGGTAATTAATACTTGTGCATTTATTTTTTGCTCTGCTTAAGATCCAAATATTAGCAGTTTCAAACTAAAACCATTTTTTCCAAACTTGAAGAGAAAAATATATTTCTCTATCCAATTTTCAAGAAAATTTTAATAAATTGGGATTTATCTCACTGCATGTAGAGCTATACAAAGGCAGCGAAGGTTGCATTATAAGTAGTAGTATTAAAGTAAATATACTGACCTTTTTTGGTGTTACTTGGGACCGGGGTCGTAATACTGGTGGTGGTTGATGTACAAAGGCTGGAACTGACAGCCACACTGGATACACACTGCATTGAAACAGGTGATGTCACAGGTAAAGAAGTCTGAAACGTTCTACTGTTATGAAATGTTGCCATTGCAATTATTTTTCGTTTATGGTTGCAGAGTTTGGTCAGATCTTCTGCACAATGAACATCTAACGTCCACTGCCTTGATTGAATAGTAATGTCAAAACTGAACACTTTTTCCACCAGCACTGGACATTCCAGCCCACACTTGCAAGTACCTTCCCTAGACAAATACTGACCAATTTCTTGGGTTGAAGACAGTTTGGTATTACTTGGGCTGCAAAAGAGGAAAAAATTAGTTAAATAAGGAAAACAATGTTTTTCAAAATTTCCTAGCAATGTTGTGGTTACTTCTTAAAATGTTTAAAATCATTTTGAGACATGTAAAAGCTTCAAAATTAAACAACAAGCAAAGAAAATAAAATCAATCTAGAATTGTCCCTGCAATCAGTTGGATTAACAGCTGATTTCAATGTGGTATTTCAGTGTAATTAATACAGTATTACATCATTTAATAAAATGACAAAGTTTCTCTGTAATTACCTGTAGTAGACAATAGCACCTTCTTCCACTACCCTTCTCCAACCAAAGGGGACAATCACAGGGTTGGATGAGGGAGTGCTTGACTGACTTGGAGTGTCTGACCCTCCCTTACTAGAACACTGGAGTGTAGATTTGGCATCCTCCTTATAATCACAACCTTGTAGATATGGTTCCTTTTTCGTAGTCGCAGTACTCACCAACTTCCTGTCTACCACATTTGATATGTTGCTATGTGATGTTGCCATAGTGATGTGTGTTGAAGGAACAACAGCTGGTGTGATTGATGTGTTGTGCATGTGTGCCATCACTGGAGTAGTACACGTAGTACTGGTGATGGTAATGACTGAGGAAGTGGTACTGGTTACCTGGTTACAACTGGCAGCAACATGGGAGGACATGATAGGTGGTGACGATAGAGTCAACTGTGGCAGTGGACAGGGAATGGCACTACTGCTGGCGACTTCCGACGAGGTCAACACAGTAGTACCACAGGGGTTGGATGGTCCAGGCAGATTCTGACATCCCATCACATTTGTATTTGAAAATTGACTGAAGTTACCAACTAGGTTAGCACTCATGTTGATTTTCATATTCACACTGCTGAAACTTTGTGGTTGATTTCCAAGGTTTGCGATCATTCCAGAAACACTTGAAGAGTTGGATACAAACTGACCAAGGTTTCCATGTTGTATTAAGGCGCTTGGGAATCGATTTTGGTTTTGATTAGTTTGAAAGATCTGCTGTTGGAGTTGATGTTGCTGAAGTTGATGTTGCTGGTGTTGTTGTTGTTGCTGTGTAGATGATTGCTGGTATGGCTGATGCATGAGAAAGTGTCCAAAACTTGGCAGAGCATTGACTGTCCCTGCAGACTGCTGGGAGGGACTAGGCCAACTGTCCAGCCCTTTATAACCTGTGTTGGGAAGCACACAATGCCCCATGGTGATAGTAGCCTGATTAAAATTACCAACAAACGTGCCCATGGATGGTAGAGTTCCAGTGCTTCCCGACCCAGCTGTTGGCATCCCACCCTGTACATTGGCAAGGACAGATCCCTGGCCTTGATGCATCATGGGATAATTTGGAATGAAGGCGTTATTTCCCATCATGCCAGGTATGTTGAAGGGTTTGTTCTGTGTCTGCTGGAATCCCTGTACCTGCCCATACGGCAGCTCATACCCTGCTCCCTGGGCCACAGGGAACATATGGGACATGCCAGCTCCCATCGGCTGAGCATTTCGGTGGTTAGGATCCATTATATCACACCACCTCTCCCGTAGCCTTCATCCCATCATTTAACACAATAGCCTTTAGCCTAAGGGTCATAAACGCCACAGCGCTTCCTTTCCGTGGCCTTAAGTTCACTCACTAAATAATGTCTTCATAAATTTACAAACTATTTTTTCCGTTTCCATCCAGACAAACACATCATGCTGCAAGATCTAGGGTGCTAAAGGCATCTGAAAAGACACAAGTAATTACATAAAAATAGAATCATTACATAATCTGGTATAAAATTACACATTCCTCATATAATTTCTGATGTACCTCCCATACCAGACTGGGACAAACATGTACAAAAGATCCCACAGAGATCATGGCACTCATCATTGTTTAACCTTCATTTGTTATTGAAAAGTTGGGTCTTTTTCCTGCTCTTCTCTGTTTTCGTTCTTAGTGATATAAAATTTGAACATTCTTTTGTAGAAATAGTGATAATATTTAACTGCCAAATCTAAGATGTTAATATCTCAGCAATTGCTTTTTACTGATTAGCCTCAAATCAAACAGACACAATGACAGACCAAGGGAAACCAGCACTCCTCATACAATGTGAGAACAAATGTTCTTTGTCAAAATACAAAATGGCAACCTGTCCCCTTATCAGTCCCAAAATCAAAAGGGTAAAAATATGGGCCATGGGGAACCTACATATGAAATTTGAGAAAGATCTACCTAGTACTTCACAAGAAATAGTGATGACATACTTTACTTGGCAAAATCCAAAAAGGCCACCTGTCAGCCATTTTGATTTTCTAATCAATGCCTAAAGTTTTATTGAACAATAGCCATTGATATTCATTGTATTTACTCCATTTACAGTTAAAAATTGTCTTTAGTTGGAGTCAAAGTAATTTTCAAGTACCATTTTTTCCCTTCTATATCTTTGTATTTTCAGTTTGGATGACTCAATTCCATCAAGTGGAAATTTCAGTTGAGCTGAAGTGATTTTTCAGTCCTTTCAATTGTAAAGCAAGGGAAAAGTCATTCGTTGTCTTGAAAACAATTTTTGTCAAAACATCAGCACGCCTTCGAATGAAATTGGTCAGTACACACACAGTAGAAAGTCACTTGTGCATAACGCATGGCTGATTACGGCTTATCTGTTCATCATACACAAAACACTTATGATTAATTACCAGTTTAATTATCCAATTTAAGGTTGGCTTCTTAATAAGTGTCACCATCCTGTTGCAGTGACTTACCTGTACATTAAACAAGAGGCCCAAGGGGCCTTAACAGCCACCTGAGGAATATATGTCAATAATCTGGGGATTTTAAAATGTTGCAAAAATGTAACAACACTTGTGCAGGACCATGTATTAAACATCTGTACCAAGTGTGAACATGACCCACCCAATGGTTCTTGAGAGGAAGTCCATAATGTCTTAGCCAAACAGAGGCCAGGATGGCCATCTTGGATTTTGAATCGCCCCAAAAAGTTTAAACACTTGCCAGGACCTTGTGTAGAACATTTGTATCAAGTTTCCCCTTTTTCCCCCTCCTGGGGCCCCTATTGGGTCCGTTTTTGACCCGATTTTTCTTTTCATTCGCAAACTTTGTAGACGTTGCCATAAGGACCCGAAATATCAAATATGAACTTAATATGACTTTTCGTTTATGAGAAGAAGATTTTTTTTAAAGACTTACCTAATTTTACCCCCTTTTCCCCCCTCCTGGGGCCCCTATTGGTGCAACACCCTTTTTCTTCGCAAACTTGAAGCGGCTTCCCATGGGGATGCTTTGTGCCAAGTTTGGTCAAAATCCATCCAATGGTTCTTGAGAAGAAGTCATTTAAAGAAGGTTTTTATATATGGCCCCTTTTACACCCCTTATGGGCCCCAATGGGGACATAATCACTTTTTTAAACATAATTTCATATGTCCTTTACTAAGGGATGCTTTTTACCAAATTTGGTTGAAATTGGTCAAAGTTGAATTTTTGACCCTTTTGAGTGCCCCCTAGTGGGGCCGTTTTTGACCCCATTTTTTTTTCATTCACCAACTTTGTAGACCATGCCATAAGTACCATAAATATCAAATAGGAACTTAATCTGACTGTCGGTTCATGAGAAGAAGATTTTTAAAGATTTACCTAATTTTACCCCTTTTCCCCCCTCCTGGGGCCCCTATTGGTGCCATGCCATTTTTCTTCGCAAACTTTAAGAGGCTTCCCACGTGGATGCTATGTGCCAAGTTTGGTCAAAATCCATTCAGTGGTTCTTGAGAAGAAGTCGAATATGTGAAAAGTTAACGACGCACGACGACAGACAAATCATGATGGCAATAGGTCACCATGAGCCTTCGGCTCAGGCGACCTAAAAAAGTAGCGCTTTTACACAAAACATGAAAACATTTAGCTTGGTTGCATGCATCTTCAGGAAAGATAAAAACGAAACCGTCAAACCAGTATTAACTTTTTAACGAAATCTGATCCCCATAATTCCGAAAGAAACTAATTTTGAACTTGTTAATTAAATGACTGTGATCTGTCACTTTGTCAGATTCAGTGTTTGGACAATGAAGTGCTGAAAGTATTTTTCATTGATAGAGTCTATATCTGTATGTCATTTGTTAAGCCTACCACTTGTACAATGTTTTCTGTAACAGGTAAAAACTTTCTAGTGCCACCTTTTCATACGTTTATAGGGTTTTCCATAATTTTGTTAGAAGTAGGCTGTGTAGTGAAAGTAGGATGCTGGCCTGCCTTGTACTGGATTGGTGTAGGTGGCCAAATGATCAAAGTAGCCGGTAAAATTGGCTGGCGACCGGCCCTTTTGGAAAAACCTGCGCTTATTTTCATAATATTTATATTCATAATAAAGTCATATTGATATGATCTTGTAGTGTATCAAAAGCAAAATTAAATTTCATTTTATGTCATTCCATAAAATATATGATGTATATGTGCTTGGTAAGTAAGGGTATTGTACGCGTGTGTGGGATGGAATGATGCGAGTACAGTTGCATTTGATTGGAGTTATTACATGTTTTGCTATTTGGATAAATAAACAATAAAAGGAAAAAGTAGGATAAATTCATTTGATGATTTACTGTCATTTAAAATATCAGATTCAACTATGTTGTGTACTTGTTACCATCGCCCTACTTTGTTCAGGAAACTGATATTGTCAACCTTAGTTTACACTTTGTTTGACTCGAAATATGGCAAAATCGAAATATTTTCCACGGTCCCACGACTTTCGAGATAACAAGTTACGACTCTATATACTTTGTCCATTTATTTGAGATGTGATGAGTATACTTGCAGATTAGATGTAAAGTGTTGAAGGGAATTGAATACCGAGGATAGATCCGTACATCACAATTACATGCAGAATTAGTATACTGTGGATTCATTTATTTTCGTTGGGTTCAATTTTCGTTGTTTCTACAAATTAGACAGTTTCGTGGACTCATAAATTCGTGGATTTTTGATTCTGTGGGAAAAAAATAAAAACTTTAGAATTTTCTCTTTTTGCTTCCAGTCGAAATTTTTTCTGTTTGTATTAAGGCTATGTTCACAGGAATTAACACTGATGACAAGAATAAAAGAACGTTTTTTTCCAAGATGGCGTCCTGTGTCTCGCATTAATATCAAACCACAAATCAGTATATATCCAGGCGTGTAATCAATCGGTAATTATCAGAAACAATTGTTTTCAGTGGATAAACATTGTGTGCTGATCAGTCGGTGTACCGCAGTCATATGAAAACACCACGCGTATCGATTGGACCATGTGTGTAAACAGGTGTGTAAACAAGATCTGCAGAAACAATTATGAAGTAAAAACACAACTCACTGACGATAGTATAAAGAAATCACAGTGATGAACATATCATTATGTATCTTATCCATCATGTCGTTAACACAGTGGTTAAAATCCGGGAAATTGAATCTGCGAAAGCCTGACGTTCCTGGGCTACCCGACTCCCGACTAATTACGGGGCTTCTGTCATTACCGGTGGACGTTTCTGGTGTCGGCAAAGATTACTTGGTCAAATTCCAAAATTACTTTAGTAAGTAGTTCATATTTCGTTGTGTTTTTAAATTCGTGGATTTGCTCATCCACGAAAACAACGAAAATTGGACCCCCACGAAAGAAAATGAATCCACAGTATACAAAAATACTGATTTGCTGCAAATATTGCAGGAACAGGGACAACCCACCTAAAAGCAATCTCAAACAAGCCTCTTTGGTTAAAAAGCAATGTATGAAACTTGAGTCTAATTGTACAAAGAAAACTTAAGTAATCACACAAAACCAATTGATCTTTGGACCTTTTGACCTGAAAAGCAACCCCATGCAAGTACCTTTGGTAAGGTTATTGTAGGAAAACAAAATTTTCTATTTATAGGAAGTAGCTTTGACCTTTGACCTTCAAACATCAAAATCAAACCTAAGCAAGCCCCTTTGGTAAGGAAGCACTGCATGAAATTTTAGTGTAATTGTCCAAAGAAAACTCAATTTATTGTATGTAAACCAATCTTCTATATATGGTAATACTGTCCTTGACCTTTGACCTTCAAACCTCACCTATATCATAAATATTACCTATATGTTGCCTTTGGCATGCGACATAAATATGTAAAAAAAAATCAATAGCAGCATAATAAATGTGAATAGAATTGTCATTTTAGAGACAGAAATTTTCGGTCTACAGTAACTTGTATTTTTTACAAATACGCACAGTTTATTTGATAAACTTTTAAACAAGTTCCTCTATAAGTGTATTGATATGAAGTAAAATATTGATCGTTACATGTGCCATACTTTCCGGATTATAAGCCCCAGCTTTTTCCCTAGGCTTATATCCCTTTGAAAGCCATAGCAAAAGTTTACAATAGTCTGTTACATCCTTCATTATTTATTGGAACTTCAATCTACTAGAAATCTGATATCCACTTGAAATTTTTAATGTGAATTGAACAGTCAGACACATGGTTTTCCAAATGGACAGGTGAGAAAAATGGT